ATTTCTGCATTAATATAATAAATGAATTTCTAATTAATTCAATATACTGTGTAAAAAATATATACACTGAAAATCTTATAGTCACAAGACTGATCTTACACGATGATGAAAGCAACGTCGCGTATGTTCACTCAAAAAAATATTAAATGTAAAATTTTAATTACTGTTACAAAGAACACACATGATAAAAACACAATTGTTGAATTACTTATAACACATTTAATTTTCATTAATAATGATATATAATCTCACTTTTCAAATTGCAATTAATAGGAACACGTTCGATTCTGAATGAACGGAAATTATAAAAATCTCATGAGATAAGGGAAAGGTGCTTTAAATCATTTAGCGATAACACGAACGATCACATGGAAAACATGCTAACACATACTGACTAACACACATGTACTCATAGATGGCCATACTGTATTTTACGCATCAACAACTTCAAAAAAATTCAATTCTTTTTCTTGTTAAAATTGCTATTGTAATCGAACGTATACGATATACAAAATTCGTTTTTTGTTTAACGACCTTAGATCAATTATTTCTTATCAGATGATTATATGTAAAAAAATTTTCTTTACGAATTTTAATTGCGTTTACGTAAATATTAAAATACACTTCGGATATAAATGTGCAATATTTTTATTTATTACTACGTAAAACAATTTTTTGAAACATTTATTTTTGATTTTTATATTTTCACAGTGCACAGTGGCGCCCTCCTTTAAAATTCCCAAACCATATTGAGTGGTTATGATACTCATTCATGCTTGACTGAATTAAGAAGCAATAAGAAAATATGAAAAAATTCTGTTTATATTATGATGAGAAAAGAATTTTAATTTTTGTATTTTTTTTTCTTTTCTTTTCTTCTTTTATTTTTTATGCAAATGACTATTAATTTTATGGATTTTTTTACTTTCAATGTAATGATACAAAAAAAATATACGAAAGACGTGTATAAAAACAGATTTTTCTTATACGATGTTGGTATTTATACAAAATTTCCGTTACAATGTGTTCACGTTATCAAATAAAAATTAACAATGCGACTATATAAAAATGTACAATTTATTATTTGCATATAAATCCGTCATATTATCGTATTCTCATTTAAATTTTATGATTTACATCAGAAAATTTATGAAATTATTTTTCTACAATAAATGTTTACCTTTTAACGCAATTTTATTTATTTATTTTTTTTTTTTTTCAAGTACAAGGGTCAGCTCGTATTAATAATAATGTCAAAGTTACAATTAAGTCAGATTAAATTCTCAATGATAAAACATTTATCGATTTTTTGTTTTATTTTTTAATTGAGTTTTCTTTATATATCACTTTGCTCGAGTCATCGCTCAATGATTGAACGCTACTGAAATATCGAGAATTACAAAATTTTAAATAACAATCATTTTCTTTTCTGTACAAAATATCGTTCTTTCGTTCCTCCTGTTTGTTATTCGAATTCATACAATTATCGCTTTTACTAAGCCAACAATTTTTCTTGGAAGGAAATGTTCGATTTCTATTTTCATTATTTTTATAAAAATTTTGCATTGATGAATATATCGAATCATTCGAATCGATTATCTTGTTATAAGTTTCTCGATTTATACACGGACCGGGATCAAAATTAAATCCGGTCGTACTGGTGCCTTTATTGTCTATATTTTCATTTATCTTTTTTTCTACGTTGACGTCGTTCATTGGCGAATATGATATCATATCATCAATGAAATTATTATCGTTTTCAACGCACGAATCACTCTCAGTAAATAATTCCTTTTGACGCATCACTTGAAAATTCTCACGTAAGGGCGATAATTTCGTAGATTTATTTCGTTCAATATTAATTGATACATTAGAAATCGGATTACAATCTTTACATTTCGTACACTCTTCACGATAACAATTGTACGATCTTTCAGTCTGACAATTACGTTCGTTTTCATGTAGATTTTCACGTTCTCGAATATCATTTGGATTTTTCAAATTTTTAAACGGACGTACTTTAGATCTCGCCTGTATGTATTTAGATGTAGAATTGGACTCGGGTTTAAATCTGGATTTCGATGTGGACTTCGATCTAGATTTCGATATAGACTTAGATCCAGATTTGAATTTAGATATAGATCTTGATTTAGATTTATTAGATTTAGATCGAGTTCGAAAGTAAAAGTTATTATTGTATTTCTTGTTCACATTGAGGTTAGATTTATTATGTGTAGATTTTACTTTAGATTTAATCTTAAGCTTGGAATTTGATTTAGGTTTATAATTTACTGCAAATTCACGTTCAGGTTTTATCTTAGATTTTGTCTTTGATTCAATCTTAGATCGTCCTTCGGGTGATCTCGTATAATTGATTAAATTCTTAGATTTTTGCCTTTTGTTAGATTCATTTTTAACAGTAGAAGAAACGACATCGCGGTCTTTCCGATCGCTCAATATCTCCTCTTGTTTATCTTTTATTTTTCTATTATCCATCTTTGAACACGTATTTTTCTCGCAATCTGATATAAAAACTGGTAATTTATTACAGTAATTTTGATCCGTAGAAATGGTTTTAAATTTATTTACATTAATAGTTTTATTTTTATTCGACGTCGTTAATACTTCGTTAAGATGATCTGAATATGTATTTGATGGTACCGACATAGATTTCGTACAATTACCGTATTTTGATTGTTTAGAAATATTTGCATAAATATCAGTATCCAATAACGTAGATTCTTGACTTTCCACGGAAAAGTTACAAATTTTCTCTTTGGTACGATTGTTGTCATAAGTTTTTCGATTTCTCTCCATCACAGATTTCGTTTTCTTTGTACTTCTTGTTATTTTCTTTTGATCGTTCTTCTGCATATCTTTGACGTATTCGTATTTCCTAAAATCATTCAAATTCGAATCGTCTTGTTTCGAAATCAATCTCAAGATTGGTTTACCAACCATTGGTTTATCAACCATTGATTTATTTTCATCATCGTATTTATATTGAAAATGATGATTCACATCGTGGTACATATTACCAACAAACTTTGAAATTTTATGACTGACTAAACGATCCGTCGATGCGTTTATTACGTTTCCCATTTCTGCTTTGAAATAAGGATAATTGCAACGAGAACATATTAGTCTCAATTCGTTTCCATTCACTCGTTGCATCATTAATTCCGTTTGGGTCGTAACATTTTCTCGTAAAGGCTTTTGAATTTTTTCTCGAAAACATTGGTACAACGGAAGGCTTGTATTTTCTCCTATTTTTTTTCTAGAATGATCAAGTTTCAATCTGCGACAACGGTAACCAGATGTTTTCGTTTTTAAAATATACGCTTTGCAGTGTGGACAGTAATTGTTAACGATATGATTGGTTGACAATTTATCGGATACTTTTTTTGTGATTTTGTTCGGAAGATCTTTTTTCGTGATTTGTATACAATGGCATGATGCAATATGACTCGAAAAATATCGATTTTGATGTTTTAACAAAGAATGTGAACATCTTTTACGAGTCCATCTTTCTTTAAGGATCTTGTACATTTTTCGTGGCAATATAGCTTTTCTGGCAATTTTTAATAATGTCTGAAAAGAAGAATGTTGACATGATACCCGATGAAATCTATCTAGGGAAGTTTGCGTAGCGACATTTAGAGACGAGCGAAAGTATACTTGATTAGACTTTGTGTCCTTGGTTTTATTGATAAAATTATCGTTTCTTTTGTCGCATTTACATGATGGTAATTCGTATTTGGAATTCACGTAATTATCGCCATCTAATTTTCTCGCTACTGAATTCTTGCTAGAATGATTTTTATGATTTCCTGTATCAGGGATTTCTTCATCGAGCACTTTAGGCTGCTTCAGTGAAGATTGTGCATTTTTTATACCTTCCTGTTTACTCGTATTAATTAAATTTGAAGATGGTATTATATTAGAAGCAGTAAAATTTGTTCCCGTGATATTTCTTTCCAAAGAATTTGATAAAGATTTCGAACGTGGTAAAATTTCAGAGTTGAGATTTTTTTTTCTTTTCGATGGGCACTTTGATATTAGAATATTAGAAAAATCCTTATCTGGATCTGGAATACCCTGTATGAAAGGTAAACCCATTTTTTTCCAAACTGTTTCTGTTATCCAGAATCTCATGTAACGCGATACGCAAGAACTTTTTAATATCTTATCATATTTTTCGTTATTACAATATCCTTTTATCGCCAAACATTCCGTCCAAGGATCGGGAATACCTCCATAAGTTTTTTTATATATTGTCGCTTCGCAGCTATCCTCACCGGAAGAAATATTAACGAATGGTGAGATCTTTAATAATTTCGGTGAATAAAATGGACCACGTACTACCTCACGTATTTTAATTGGATTAGTACAGTTTAATCGTTTAGGCGAAACCCATTCATGTTGCCAACTTGTATAAATCTTGCACTCGTTGAGCTTCTTTTTATCTTCTACATTTCTTATATTTGCCTTGTCGACATTTTCTTTAATACAAAATTGATATTCAGAGTTCATAGCTTTAGAAAAGCATCTCTTAAATGTATGGACACAATTATTGATATATTACATTTTAATGATTCGTATTAATCGTTGTGCACTGTATGCATGTTTAAAATTATATATTTTTAATAGGTTATCTGGACTTATGTAAAAACTCGAATGCAGTCTGTTGAATTTGTGTCATTATATTCTGATATTTTCATTCATTTTTGTATTATTTAATGAAATATATTTAATATCATTTATTTATTTAATATTATTTACTTATTTCACTGTACTTGATTATTTTAAAGTTACAATTTGATAGCAACATCTAATCAATATTTGTAGTTGATACACAGCAATTTTTTCCTACACATCAATCGAGAGTATTTACTTTTCAAATTTACCGCATTCATTGTTTCAAACGTTATATCGCTAGGCGGCGCTAAGATTATAGTTTGACACACTTTCTAACCTATTACATTTATAATATCAATCATACCGGGATTTCATTCAATTGCGCAATAGTAAGTAATTGAAACGGTCTTTCGCGTTGACGTTTATATAAAAATTACCCATCGATTACAAAGTGACATGATGTCGTTGTTAAAATCTTTACCCAAAGCCCTTAATGGGGCTTCAAAAACTCTTTCTCGTAGCGTTCCGGCTGTATCTTATCATCCCAATGTAAATATCTCTTTAATTGTAACTTTTCTTAGTACATCACACTATTTTAACTTATATATTTGAGTTTTATGTACTTGAATGATAAATCTATGTGTCATGACATACACGTATATTGTTCATTTATATATAATTTTTATGAAATTTGTAAACTGAGATGACTAAAAATCACGTTATTCTGTTAATCGTTTCATTAGTGTTTATTGTGACGAATTTCTTAAATCTATATATTGTATAAATCAAAACAAAAGTTCAAGGTCAAATATTTATATACATACATGTACATATATATTATATATATATGTATGTGTATATAATCTACACATATACAGTAAGCATATATCATGTATATTTTAATATGATAAATATTTACTTAATGAAAGTGTTTAGTTTTAACGATATTATTATATGCTTATATTTATTGTTAATATCAAAATAAGAATTGTTACTCATAACTGTTTTATTCGATTGTATGCAGGTGCTCGATCATTATGAGAATCCTAGAAATGTAGGTTCAATGGATAAGAATGATACTAGAGTAGGCACAGGTCTTGTAGGTGCTCCAGCTTGTGGTGATGTTATGAAATTACAGATTAAAGTAGATGAAAATGGAAAGATTGTTGATGCTAAATTTAAGACCTTTGGATGCGGTTCAGCTATCGCTTCTAGTTCTTTGGCTACAGAATGGGTGAAAGGAAAAACTGTATGTTGTCTGAATTTGTATTATTTTCTGTAATTAGAAAATATTACATGTAATTATACTAATCATTTTAACTTTACATGTAGGTCGATGAAGCTTTGAAATTAAAGAATACTGACATAGCAAAGGAACTTTGCCTACCACCGGTCAAGCTGCACTGTTCGAGTAAGTAAACGTATTCTCTTATAGACTTTCAAAATGAATACTGCAAAGAACAAAAATATTCTTCTAAAAAATAACATAAGTATTCTACAAAATAATACGAGTTAATTATACGATTGTACATTTTGTAGTGCTTGCAGAAGATGCAATCAAGGCTGCTTTATCAGATTACCGTATCAAACAACAAAGTAAGGCAAATTCCGCTGATGAAACCAATAGCGCAAAAATGAAGGCTTAAATGAATTCTTTCTCAAAAAACGTAGTAAAAAAAAATTATAATAAAAATATAATGATTTCATATTAATGTAAACACAACATCATTGTATAGTATACTATAGATAGTCGAACGTACTTTCATGTGCGTATTATTTTGAGATTATTATACATATGTATCATATGTATATCCACATATACAGATACATATATATTTTCAGCAACGATGTGACAATATTGTTACTTGATTATACATATATAAACTAGATTAAAGATGCAAACTATTTTAATTTTATGTAGAAACGAATAAATTCGATAATTTTTAAATATCAACGCAAATTCTTTTATTCAATGAAATTTCTCTTAGATATATGAATAAAAATGGATGAAATATAAACATTATAAATATCAATGACTTTTAGAAAGTATTAACGACGATTATAAATTTAAGAAACTATAAAACATCTGTATTATATAACAGAGATGTAAGAAGAGTAAAAGATGATTTCTTTGTAAGCGGAAGTAATGAGGACAAGCGATACTTATGTTTTTCGCGTAATACAATATTTACGACAGCATAAAGGAAAGTCCGAGGGTATGATGAACTAACATCAATTGCATTCAATATGTTGACAAAAACATTTCCATTGCAGAGTCTCATCGCTAGGCAAAACTGTGTTGCGTCATCTTGATGACGTAATAAACGACGGCCATTGACGTGACCGTTATCAATAGAAGGCACAATGTGAATTTTTCATGGGATATTTTACAAAATGCTATATCAAGTTATAATAGTTATTTACGAATTTTTTTTTATAAACAATTCGTATCAAATGATATAATACCTTGCCATCTAATACCTTGATAAATTAGATTATGAGATACTTATATAAACTACAAGTAAACTAATCGATATTATCTTCAGTTATATCATTTAGTAATTACAATAGCATTAAACGTAAACGATGATATTTTATTCTTCTCTCAAAGGTATCAAGAATATTATATAGTTTATGAATGTTATCTTTGTATTGTTTAAAAATAGAGATATAATAGTTCGTTTGACAAGAAGAGCTCCAATTTATAGACAAATAATGAATCATGTAAGTAATGATTAGCTAGAGTAGTATTAGTATAGTCTTTGAGCTTAAAAAGATATTTTTTGTATTATAACGTATCGTTCACGGAAGAGCAAAGGAACACCTATTCTCTCTCTCTCTCTCTCTCTCTCTCTCTCTCTCTCTCTCTCTCTCTCTCTCTCTCTCTCTCTCTCTCCTCTCTCTCTCTCTCTCTCTCCCCTCTCTCTCTCTCTCTCTTTCTCTCTCTCTCTCTCTCTCTCTCTCTCTCTCTCTCTCTCTCTCTCTCTCCTCTCCCCTTAATTTAAATAATAAAATTATTTAAAAGAACATATATTTCTTGTATATACAAAGTATACTCTTTTTCGAAGTTCCAATCGACATCATAGTTCATTCTACAAATGTCATTGTACAATATTAATTGATGCTTAATAAGAATGAATTTAAATTGATTCATCTTCGCTCGTTGGAAACAGTTGTGTGTATTTCAGGTCATAAGTAGAACAATTAATTTGTTAAAACTTAATTTTTTTTTTTTACAATATACAAATACTTTCGAACATGCTTGACACAACAATCGTAACACTCTTACATAGAATATATCGTATACCTTACGTATGAATTTATTCTTACGTTAAATATATCAATAGTTTCTTTTCTCTTATTTTTCTAAGATAGGAGTATCTTTTGATTTCTGGAATCTTTTTATCTTTCCAGTTATCTCAAAGTATGAAGTGTCGTTTTAATCACCATCTTCACACATTTCAACTAATTGGCAAAAACTAACAACTGCGATAGCGTTTATATAGGATAACTCGTACGATGTGACCAATTTGAACATTTTCAAGGCTGCTGTTTTCATTTTCTTTTTTATCTTTATTATTTTTTGAAATTTTTTCCTCTCCCCATTTTTTTTAAATAAATGAAAACATTTATTTCAAGACAGTTTATCTTGTATTTATCATGAAAATAAGTCGTGTAAACATAAATTTAATCGATCGACTTCTTCTTTTTTATATTTATATTAACTGGTACATAACATTCTACTTACATTACATTAGAAATAAAAAAAAAAAAAAAAAAAAAAAGAAAAAAGAAAAAAAAAAAAGAAAAAAAAATATTTTATTGAACACAATATATCTGTTTGATTAGATCGCATAGAATACATGATACATACGCGTGTGTAATTTTATATCACGAGATATCGGATATCTCTCAGCATATTTATCGCAGTTTGGTAGATCTAGCACAAATACTTCATAATATGCGTAAAGCGGATATCGACATAGTTCGTCGAAGATGTTCTATATTGCGAATGATAAAAGATGTGTATATGTGCCTACGAGTATATCTGTATTCGTAAAGTGGATTTCCTATATTTTCGCAATTCTCAGTAAAACGTTTTTACTATTACTTTTTTTCCATTATTATTTTTATTTAATACACTTGAACATAAATATTATGTTAAAATCGAATAGATTATAATGATTCCATTTAAATGAGATTTAAAGAAAAAATTCATTTTCGTTTTTATATAAAATAAAATGATTTTTAAATGATATTGACAAATTCGAATTTTGATTTGATATATCTAAACGCAAGTATTATGTTAAAATAAAATAGCTATTGTTTCTATTAAAATGACATTTACAAAAAAAAAAAAAGATGAAATTTTTAGTGTCATTTTTGAATAAAATAAAATGATTCTTAAGTGATATTGACAAATTTGAATTCGTTAAAAATAGACTCTTTAGTTTAAAGCGGCATTCTAATTGTAGTTGATTATGAAATAGGAAATATTCAATTGTAAGAAACATATATTTAGATACTATTAATTATTGTGTTCTTTTTTATGCGGGTTGTTCAACGGTCATTTTTTTTAAATGTTCACTTTGAATAATATAACTTAATATACATTCGAGTTCAAACTTTATGCTACTATAATAAGATTCATCGATATTATCTTGTTCTTGTGATGCTTATTGTGTTTAATAATATTCAACTACGCCGAAATAAAATTCTAAAAATTTTAACTTACGGAATGGCTCACATAAAGCGTTAAAAATTGTAGTTTCATCGAAATCATTAAACGACGATGTAAAAGTCAAACTGTTCGCATAAAACGATAAGATTTTTCAAGCAAAAGAAATAAATTAACGAAATCTCATAATTAAGAAAATAAACTTTATATTAAAATTTTATATATTTCAAGAATTGAATTTATATATTTTCAATGAATTGAAATTTGATGAAATATTTGTTTGAAAAATGGCGGCGTTTTTAACGAACAAAAAAAAATCGAATAACATTTCAGGCAGATCACGCACGATACAATCACAGAAGGTTAATAAAACATTTAATATGAGTTATGATGAAGGAATTAAAATTTAATGTTAAAAGAAAAATTCAATAATGCTTACGTTTATTTCGATAGAAAATTGTAGTCAAACACCCGTGATTTCACAAAACGGATGTTAATGAATTCAACTATGCACACAGTAATCTTAGTTTTTCTATCAATGGAATTAACGAGTTATCGCTTTTAACATGATATATAATAACCTTGAGTAAACCAATCGATTTTCTTTATCTTTTTGATGATAAAAAATACGTTACATCGTTAAACACGTTATCATTTAATAATCCCTAATCTATTCGACCGCATTTTTCACCAGATGAAGAAAAGTTAAATTAGTAAAACAATAATGTTCATTCATTCTTTTGTTTTTGCATTTTCAAAATTGTTCAAAGTTGTAAGATTTTTAATCGATCTAAAAGAAGGAGGAGTTTTGTAAACGTATATAATACGATAATAATAAAGCGAACAGAATCGCAAAAATTTTCAGAAGAATCACGATCAGAGATTAATATTTTTCTAACCTTCTATCCGATATATATACCTTGACTTTAAGTAGAACGCGTACCGATCATAGCGATAAATATTAAAGCCTACCGAGGATAAAAAGAGAAAAAGAAGAAAAAGCAGAAAAAGAAAGAGGGAAAAAAGAATAACGAATTAACTTGCGTATTTCCAGCACGTGCTTCTGACAAATTTTCCATTCTCTCTATTCGCTGTGTTTCTTGTGCAAAGCCTAAAGGAGGAGTGGGAGAAATCGACGGGAACGACACTGCTTGACACGTGAGAGTTTATAAATTCGCGGGATGAAGTGAGAAGGGGAGAAAGAAAGAGAGAAAGAGAAAGGTTGCGAACTATTTGGAACGTCGTAGGAAGAGACGAAACATTTTGCAACAAAGCATAAAAGAAGGAGAGGGTGAGAGAGAGAAAGAGAGAGATGGATAGAAAGGCGAACAGATACGTAAACTCGTACATGATCGTACGGTTTCGGTTACAAAGAAGAAAGATCGCGCATGCTGGAGTAGAAGGAGTGGGGATAACGACTGGATCACTCGGCAAGAGTAGGGGAAAGTGGCTACGGAGGATATGCGTGGTAGACAGCTGATCAGTCTGCTCGCGACGCACGGTCGGATGGAAGGTTTTTTCGTCGGAACGAGCCTCTCTCGCAAAGAAACTCTAATGATTCATTCGTTACACAGTACGTTATGACAACGGCACTTTTGTTTTAAAGTCCTCGTCTACATGGTATCGTCGTCGTCCTTTATGCCATTTGAAACAAAACCAAAGTCAAGAATAAACGGTGCGTCGGTTTATTATCGTAGTAAGCGTTCTATCGAGCTCTCGTTGGCGTCGTCAGGTCAATTACACCGAGCGCGTTCTTCTCTTCGTATTCTTCTTCTTCGTCGACTAGACTCGTGGACGAAGGTGAAGTCTATGACCGGACAAAACGAATGTTTACATTCCTATCGAAGAAGGAAGTGGTGCGAGAACAGTGGTAGAACGTACTCTACGTTCGCTTTGATGAGGTTCGAGAAAACGGAAGAGGAGGACACGAGGGCGGACTATATGATTCGCGAGCATTGATATTCGTATTGTACTGTAGTGACAGAACGCCATACATACATATACACATATACATACATGTTAAATGTATAAGCATATATACTAGTTTGGTGCAGTTACGCCCGCCGTTAACACCCCTGCTATTTGATTTTTTTTCTTCTCTACATTTATCAGTTACTTGTCTTTGTTGTTGACACGTTTAATCATTATATATTGAAAGAGCTTTTACTAGTTGCAATCGTGTTTCTTTATCTCACTGTTAACGGTGCATGTCGGCGGTGAGCACAGAGTGGAAGGTTGATGACAATGCAACGAGTTCAAGATCAAGACAATGGAATCAACATTAAGTTCGGATCAAAGAAGTCCAGAAAGGGCGATTATAAATTGGTTTCGCAAGACGCGAAAAAGGAAAGACAAAACAATTATAATGGGACCAACAAACACGGTACGTGTGTGTTCTCTCTATCTCTCTCTCTCTTTTTGTTTCTTTGTTTCTTATCATCCGTTCTCTTCTGTCACGCGCGTGTACAGTTTTTCATTGTTTGGATCGACAGTTTACTTGGCGGGAAAAGCGGTATTTTTGAATGTAAAGCGGAAAGCAGTTATTATAAATATACAATCAATGTCAAAAGAATACGTGCATGATTATTTTTTTGCTTTAAAAATAATATTCTTGAAAGAAAGTAATCATTTATATGATATTTTTATGTATAAATTGTATATTTGTTTGTAATCACAACCTTATTCGTACGCGAATTTATTTTACGTTAATATGAAAGTAAATTTGTACGTTATATTTTATTTTACAAACTAGTTTCTCTTATCATTAAATATTTTTTAACAAAATGTAATTATTCATTGTGTTTAAAAATTATTTTTTACAGTTTAAGAAATGTTTTTATTTTATTACTTTTCATATTTTAGTTAAAGATGTAACACCAGAGGAAGAATTAGTACCCCCAGATGGAGGTTGGGGATGGCTGGTACTTTTGGCATCTGTCCTTGTCAATGTCCTTATTCCAGGAATGGTGAAATCTTTTGGAGTTTTATTTGTTGAATTTCGTAAAGTTTTTGATGCATCTCCTGCTGCAGCTGCTTGGATTCCTGCATTATGTTATTTTCTGTACAGTTCTCTTGGTAAAATATATGACTTGATTATTTACCTAATAAAAGAATTATTAAAATTTTATATATATATATATAATTCTATTTACATGAGTTAAATGTTAAATATTACTTTTAGGGCCATTGTCTAGTGTGCTTTCGGTTAAGTACTCATATCGGACAGTATCATTATTGGGTGGTACATCTGCTGCTGTAGGAATGATGATAAGTTATTTTGCAAACTCTGTTGGCTTTTTATGCGTTAGGTAGTTAAATAACTTTAATAATCAAATTATATTTAATAATATAAGAAGAATAACTTTAAAATGGAAATATTTGTAGTTTTGGAGTATTGGTAGGAACAGGAGCAGGTTTGGCTTTTCCCCCAACCGTATACATTGTAACATCCTATTTTGTACGCCTACGAGGACTAGCCAATGGTTTGTGTATCTCAGGCAGTGCTTTAGGTTCTATATTTCTTCCACCACTTCTTGGGCTTCTTTTACAAGAGTATGGTTACAGGTAGATATACTATTAATAAAATAAGAATAATTTAGATGTAATTTTGTTATGTGATAGCACAATTTATATTTCGAGTACTTCATTCTTTAAATTTTTAAGGTCAATTTTGCATACATAATAGAAAATAGTAAATTTCCTTTTTTATTTAAACGAAATTCTTTTGAAGAGTGTAATTACTACTTTAAAATTTACAGAATATAAGTACTCTATATATTTCAGTAAAGTGTATTTGAATGTGATTGTGTATATAAATATAGTGTTTGATACTTAAACTTTAATTAAAGTAAATTAATATTAAGGTGAGTATAGAAGAGTGTTGTAATATTATTCTATTTATTTAATAATCTTTGCCTTATAGTCATATTTATTTTATTTATAGTCATATTTATTTAGCTTTCTATTTTCACAATTTTCTATTACATAGAATATAAATTACATCCTTTTCATTTATATGATAACTACATTGATGTTAAATGTAATTAAGTTTAATAAATACTTTAGGTCTTTCAGGAGAAAAAAATATATTTTCTAAATGTGAGTATGGATCATAATAAATAATACGTGCAATTTATATATCTATTATTTCTTAATTTCTTTGTTGCAGAAAACAATTAGTAAAGACAGAAAGAAGTAATATGAAAATCTTTATACTGCATGTGATCTTAATTTCATAATATTTTTTAAAGCACATTTTTTTACAGGTTTATATATATATATATATATATATATATATATATATATATTATATCTAGAATATATATCTAGAGTGGAATTAATAAAATATTCTAAATATTATATTAATAATTTTGTGTGTATATCATTTATATAGAATGTTGATATACTTTTCTATGATTACATAAGTATGAGTTTAATTGTTACAAATATTATGACAGTGTTTTAATTGTTGATTAATTCAATGCATGATATTTATAATATTTGTAAGACATCGTAATACTTCATTAGATATATAATAAATGAAATTGGTAATTGTTACATGTGGATGTGTGAGCGCGCGTGTGTATGTGTGTATAATGGTTTTTTAAGATATATATATATTATTATTATTAAAAATGATTACATTTATTTTATGGATATTTATCTTTTTACTCCTATAAGTTATTATATTCATATTAAATGACATACTCTTGCTGTAAGATTATTACTTATTGCAAATGCATAGAAGATTACATTAATATTATGTTAAAATATATTTATAACAAGTCATTTTATCTCAATCATTTCGTAATATCCCAATATAGATATTTAATTTAGTGCATTTTCTAATTTCTTCCTGAATTTGATATATATATATATATAAAAATTTTAATTTGATATATATATATATATATATATATATATATATCAAATTAGAAATTTTTATATTAATATTATTGTACAATTTTCATCTTTCAGATATAATTACAGTGTAATTAAATAATGCAACTTTGCTTTCTTACAGAGGTGCTGTATTAATAATGGGAGCTATGACTTTAAATGTGTGGGCTTGTGCTTTATTATACGATCCAGTGGAAAAACACATGATACCTGCGCGACCATCACGCGATTCGAAAGATCATAAAAGCTTAGAAACTACATCAATTACTATTACTAGTCCTGAAGATGAGAGGAGACATAATAATTTTATTTCTTCCAACTCGAGCTGTGAAAAAGCTGCGCCTATAGTGCCAAAAAGCGCGTCTAGCGTTGCATTGGAAAATTATAAAAATACTCCTGTTCAAGGAAGAACTAGAAAAATTAGTATGCCAACTGGGCGTGAAATTACTGGGCAAATGCATAGCACACCAGCTTTACACGCTGTACCTGAAAGAGGAGCCGAAACAGGGAAATTGATAAAACGTAAATCATCCACTCAATCTCCCAGTACTTCATCATTTTATTATATTAGTACCCCTCATCACGGTAGTACATTGTCCGCATTACATCCTGCACATGCATCTACATTAACATTAAATGCAATATCTAATACGTTTACGAGAAAAGGGTCTGGCCGTGCACCGAAGCAGGAAGAAAAATCGGGAAATAAATTCTTTGATTGTAGCTTATTGAAAGATCCTATGTACCTCGTTATATTGATCTCAAATTCAACGAATGCTGTTAGTTATACGAATTTCGTAATATATTTGCCAGCTTATGCAGATTCGCTAGGCTTTGACAAGAGTATGGGCCCTCTTCTTCTATCGATCGTGTCAATTTTGGATCTCATTGGACGTATCGGTGGATCTGCATTATCCGATATAAAGTTAATGCCGAAACATTGGTATTTCGTAGGCGGCTTATTTGCTTCTGGAGTATCCTTAGCAATATTACCAATGGCTACTACTTATACCTTATTATCTGTATATTGTGGAATATTTGGATTAGCTTCTGGTACATATGTCGGAGTTACCGCAGTTATTATGGCTGATATGCTCGGCACTGAAAAACTTACTTCATCCTATGGCATTTCTTTATTCGTTAATGGAATTTTGCAGCTTATAGGCCCACCAATTTGTGGTATGGTTTATCAACAAATCGACCAATATGGTCCCATTTTTAGTGTCCTAGGTATAATTTTAATTATAGGTTCATTACTATGGGGCTTTGTTCCTTTCATTAAAAAAAGGCAAAAAGGATCAGAAGTTAACAGTCCAATAGATAAATTATAGTAATCTACATTTTTTGCTAATATATTGAACAATTTATTCGAGCAAAAATTGTATACGATTATTGATCGTGACATCCTTGTAGGAATATTATCATTTAACTTGAAAACGCGACACAAGATCACGAGACTAATATTAGAAAAAAAGAAACTTATAGATAATTCTTTAGCACTGTGATGCTGTATATATTTTACACGCACACTTATTATTCTAATTATTAAGAAAAGTATTACGAAAATTTAGAAAAACTTTTTGAAGACACAGTCTCTCTTTTTCCAAAAAAAAGAAAAAAAAGAAAAGAAAAAAAAAAGAAGAAAGAAAAAACAATTAAAAACCTTGCCTTGCACATAGGATTATTGCTCCTTGAAAGTAAGAACTTCAATTATAAATTATGATAAATATACGTCATTACGCGTTCGCGCGTATTGTTACTGTGTGTGTGTGCGTGTGTGTGTATTTGATTTTTATTTAGTACTTAATATAAAGTAAAGAAGTTGGTGCTATTTATGTCTAAAGGATGAACACACTGTTAAATGTTTAATTTCTTAAGACCTTTTAAAATTTTATTCGTTTTCCATATTATTTCATAATTGAAAACAAAATGTATTTGGATGCATTTTAAATTACTGTTACTTAACAATGTCAGTGATTATAGTAAAAAGAATAGCAAAATTTTATGACACACAGTAACTTAAATAATTTAATTTTAACATTTTGTTTTCACAATTTTAATTCGTAAATCACCGAAAATATGCCTTACTACGTGATAGATTCTAAGCACTTTGTAATTAATAATTAATATATTAAGTTTATATAGGTCTGTACACAAATGCAAAATAAATAGTAGCATAACAGATAAATAATTGTAATATTCAAGTACGTTTTGTATAAATGAGCACTTGGCTATATATATATTTCATCTTTATAAGAATAATATAACTATGTATATGTAACTAAAACTGACTTTATTGACGAAATATTGCAATATAACACTTTTCATCACAATCAATTTGTCAATTATCTATAGCTTAGTACTGGATATTTTAGATTTATTATGTATTCGTGTATGATTCTGTTGTTTAACAGAACAAATTTTCGAATATATAATAACCAATCAAATTTTTTCTGATCTATTACTTGACCAAGTGTTTATTTTTCTTTTCTTTCTATTACTACATTTTCAATAGCTGGCGCTGAATCTCTGAATTTAGGAAATTGTTCCCAAGGTGCGGATAAATCAAATTTTCGAAATTCCTGTGTCAATTCCAATGGTTCTGCTATTACCCTCTTTTTCTCGTCATCATAGCGAACCTTAAGATAAAAGTATATATTAATTAATGTTCATAAATTTCCCATAAAACAAAAAAACAACAATTTGAACACATTACCTCAACGTATCCACTCAATGGGAAATCTTTTCTCAGTGGATGTCCTTCAAAACCATAATCTGTCAAAATTCTACGGAGATCGGGATGACGAAGAAAATAAATACCAAACATATCCCATATTTCACGTTCATACCATTCGGCACCTTTGAATTCTTCAGTTACTGAATCAAGTGGTGATAATTCATTTGTGTATGTTTTTACTCTGATACGAGAGTTGTATACAAGAGACAAGAAGTGATATACAACCTAAAGTAATAGAACAAAATTTATTTCTGTTTACTTAATTATAACTGGAGAATCAATTGAAAGACGAATTACCTCAAATCTATATTGTCTATTGGGTACATCTAGTGCAGTTATGTCAATTATATTATTAAATTGTGCATTATAATGACATCTTAAGAATGCTATTGTTGGAAAAATTCCTAAAGGAGCAATCATAACTTCAAGTTCATCTTTGTTAACTATTTGAACTTTTTGTACATACTTTGGTAGACATTCGGCAACATAACGTCCAAAGTTTTTTAAACGTTCAATATCGATATAAGGATTAGGTTTGCGTACAGTAGCTATAAACACAAATATTTAGAATTAATTTAATATCATGAATAATCACCAATAATAATACAAATCTGTGCATATAATTAAAAAACAAGCAATATCGAACACATCAATTTGTAGTATAACATTTTATAATTTATGCAATTTATTTATAAAATACAAATAAATCCGGAATAATTTCCAAAGAGAAAAGAATTAAGACTTACGTCGAGTTTCTGGTTTTTCTGTTTTTTCTGTTACTTCTGTACTATTGTACCGTATTGATGGAAAAGCTTTCACATAACCTAAGATAAAAATGGATCGTTATATAATTTAAGTTGATATTTAATTACGTTTCATAAATATCATTTACGTTTAGGAGCATTCGTAGACAGGGTTTGTGATAATTTCCAACAATTTCTTAATAACGATGTCATGTTGCTGAAAATCTATATTTGAAATATAGATTCTAAATGTATACAGGAGCGAACGTCAATGAAAACTGGTAAAACACACTAACACTCATGCAAGTAGATAACACGCTCGTCTGATCGACATGCGCACTTATAATACTTGTTATTTCTAATAAAAAAGTTGAAAAGTAATAAAAAGTAATAGTAATAAATAACAATTATAAAAATTTTTTTTGTCATTATTTTAATGATAAATGAAAATAAAAAATATTACATAATTTCTATTGTGATATTTACAAAATTAAAAATAGTGTTATTATAATTTCTAATATTATTGAACTTATTTTACAAATATTTTTTTCAATATGTAATTTTATTATAAAAAGTTTATAATAACATTTGTTGCTGCTGATACAATCATCAGCTATGCTGTATACTTTTTAAAGTATTCCGTTGTTCCAGTGATTGTATCTCTACAAGAATACTTGCTACGGCATGTCTAAAGCGATGAAATTGTACTAAAGAAAGTTCAAATGTATGAATTTCTCCAGTATCAAATGTACATTCCATTATAATGTATGGTTCCAGCACTCTACTTAAAACACTGAAAATAAAAGATACAAGAGTATATTGCCAAAATATACTTTGAAAAGTGATGGGTCAAAGATTAAAAAAATTCAACGTACTTTGATGAAATAATAACATCTATACGCCATTTGCATGATAATAAACGTGGAAAAAATTTTGTTTTTTTCATTAAACCTGTAAGTAAATCTGCTTTCTTTTGACCAGATATAACGGTATATAAATCCTCAATGCAATCTGAAGAAAGAAAAAATCTGAAAAAAAAACATGTATCAAAGTGATAATAAATAAGAATAGTGTATACTATCGATAATTTTAATAACATAGAAAATATATATTTACTTTAATTCTTCTAAAGCTTGTTTGAAATCTGTCGGTTTGACAGAATATGATACATATTTAAGATATGTTTTTAAGATAGTAAAGATAGTCGAAAAATATTCATCTACATCTTCCAAAGGTATATTATATTTTTGGCTAATTCTGTCTAGAACACCTTCTTCTATATGTTCTTGTTCTATTGCTTTCACAGCAACTTAAATAAAATAAATATAGATTAGTTGTGATTAATATTAAAAATAAAATAATATTGTCTTACTTTGTATCAAAGGCCGGACAAATGTTTTTTTTAGTTCCGTCAGGTGTTTTGTTTTATTTCTTAAAGCTGTTAAAAGTTGAGTTTGATATAGCGTTGCCATTTTTTTAGAAGAAATAAAACTGTTTACTATTATTTAGCTATAATCATTGATCATAATATTTTCAACCATTAACTCACTTATTTCAACATTAAACAATGTTTGAACAATTTTTTTTCGATATAAACCTTACATACTTTTTCTCGTTTTATATGCTGTATGTTATTCGCAATACAAAGTTTATAATTTATTTATTTTTTGATTTTTTATTTGACAGTAACACTATTCAAAGGATCATATGATATGTGTCTACTTTTGTAGTTATCAATGACGTTATTTTTAAACGAAGAAGATTTTTGAGTCTATTTTCACGTTTGATCAACGACCAGGCGAAATTGTTACTATATTTACGCCGATAGATGTCAATAAAAGCGTTCTTCAAACGCGATAAAATGTTTCCGATCTACTTCTGATTTCATCAATGATTAGAATAAAAGAAAATCTTGATAAATAGATACAGTTATGTATATTGAAATAACTTTTTAGATTATATTTGATATCTAATATATATTATAATTCTTTCTTAAATGTATATGATAATCGATATAATGTATCACATATCGTTTCATATTTTACGCTTAGTCATTAACGAATTAGCACAGTTGAAAACTGATTATGAAGGATAAAAGAAAAATGAAAAAACAAAACGAGAAGATGAATAAAAAGAATTTACGATCTTCAATTATGTTAACTTGACTCTAGTGTGATTTTCGAATCAAATCGAATCGAATCAAATCGAATTTAATCGAATCATTGCCTTGATTTCTTTTTACGTCAGTTGAACACACATAAATAAACGTGAGATATTCAAGGAAGCTTATTTTTTTTTCTTTTTTTTTTTTTTTTTTCGAACGGAGTTGAAGTTAAATACGAACCCTACGATGATCGATGCGCGTAACATTCAAATTTACGTCATTCTTTTCGCGGCGAAAGTAATAAACGTTTCTGTCTGTTACTCCTCTCTTTCTCTCTTTCTTTCTCTCCCCCTCCTCTCTCTTTCTTTCTCTCTCTTGGTTTTTCTTATCCATTTTGCTCTCATTGGATAATTCGAAGGTTAATATTCAACCGACATACGACCCGATTCGTCGAGGTTTTTAGTCATAGGAGAGGAATCGGTCGTTTAAATATCGGGCAAAAATAAATGACCTAGGCACAGTTGGCTTCGTCGATTGTAGACGTTGGGAGTCCGCTGACCTGTTAAGCCGTTTATGATTTCTCATCGAAACCAGAGAGGAAAAAAGGCATACTATCTTCTCACATGTCATTTCGAATAACGTCATGCTTTATCGATTACTTCAACCTATACTCATCAATCCAATACATATAACAATACTTCTTGGTAGTCAAAATTTCACATAGAAAATCTATACAATTGGAAACGATTTTAGCAAGTCGTTTAATTTTTAGGTTATTTCGAAGTGATTCTTGAAAGTAATGAGATTCTGCAACGTCTTTTTCAAATTTATTTCAGATAGTGTTTGGTAGAAGGGCGGGGAAGGGTGGGAGGAAATGACATAACGCAGCAACATTGGAGAAGATCTGTGAGAAGATCAACATCGGCAAGATCTGTGAGATCGAATTGATATATTTTTTTTTTTAGATTTATACTCGTGATCCGTATCGATCGTAAAGCGGCGCATCGCATCACGTCTCGTCCTCTTCAAGTCATAGCTACATGTTTATTAATCGAGCTTGATCCAAGTAACCGTCAACAGAAATAGCATAGGCATTTCTGGGGTGGCTAGTCAGTAGAATACGCGACACGGCTCTCTCGCAGTTCTCTATCTCTCTCCATCTATCTCTATCTTTGTCTGTTTGTCTCTCCTTCTCTGAAAATCTCGGAGTAACTAAGTATCTGGACAGCTTTCAGGAAGGCGTGAAAAACAATGTGCGAAAAACCTAATTGTTCTGCGCAGATGATCGATTTTCTTGACGAAGCACGTTGTGCGATCGTGATTTCGATTGATTGTCTAACAATAAGCCGTACCGGTTGACTTATTAAACACGGATTAAAAAGGATTAAAAAGGATTATCTGAAACATTGAATTATATAAAAATCTCTCACGTCTTTTCACTATTTCGGTGGAGTTAGCTTCGTTGAGGAGTAAGTAATAACGTTTTTTTGCTTTGTTTATTTCATGCCTGTGATTCGTACGAATAAACGGATAGATTTCTTTTTTTTCTTCTTTTCTTTTCTTTTTGTTTTATTATTCAAATAAACGTAGCAGCATTGTAGGGCTAAGTGGATGTATTATAAAAAAATAATTGTATTATGATCATGACTACAAACGACGCATAGTTGTTATTTACGTAAAAATTGAAGTCAATTGAAATGTTTTGTCTGTTTGGAGAACAATTATTTTGAGATAAAACAAATTTTTAAAAATGAAACAAACAGACAAACTTTCAGTATGCTTGATATATAATGTTTTGTAAAAAGTATATAGTAATTAGCTCGTGGAGCCATCTACATTACGTGAGGCAAGAAAGATTTCCAAAATTTACGAACATTTTCAAGTTACACGTAACACGATTCACATCATGTATATTATCGTGTTCCTGCTACGATCAATTTAATCGTGTTTCCTTGCGTTCCTTGCGTCCTTTACATCGATCTCTAACAAAATAATGTGTGTTAATCGTGTTAGAGCGAATTACAGGATGCACATTCGATTAATAATTTATAAAAGAAGAAGGAGAAAAGAAAAAGAAAAAAGAAAAGTTAAAAATATATAAATAAATTTGTGAAAGCATATGTCAAAAGAAAAATTCGTTTTTTTTTAGGATGGATTGAAATAAGTGAAGGATAAACGATGCTCAAATAAACTCGTAACGCGATATGCCAGTTCGAAAATGCAGTAAATTCCCTGAGTTACTTTACGAACGTTTTACACGTAACAAAAGGCAATTTTCCATGAGTGTGTTGGTGTGTATCAAAAACTAGCACCTGCCCCAGATTCGCAATTGCGAATACTATATATGTTAGGTACAACCCTTAAAAACAATACGAGTGTAATTTAATGTTTTACTCAGTATCCAAACAACCTCTTATCGAAGAAAAAGGAAGATCCGTTCTTTTTTCGTCTTTTGATCGATATGTTCGATTTTTCAGATTCACGGCTTTCGTTTTTTTTTGTTTCATTTTCTTTTACTGTTTTTTTTCTTTTTGTTTTTTTTGTTTTTTTTTTTACCGTATATCTTGGTTCGCATGATCGAATGTATCGATATCACGTTGGATCATGAATCTTTTGGTATTCTTATATATTTATATTTCGTTATGACTGATCGAATATCTGGAATAATCTATAGTTATTGATTGAATTTATAAATTATTATGTTTAAACAAGATTGTTTTTTATAGACGTATATTATATACATAGTATATGCATAAATATAAATTTGTATAATTATGCATATTTATGCAGGATGACATATGTATATAAACATGTAAAGTTCAACTTAAAAAAAAATGATTTAGTAATGTATCTTTTGGTATCCTTTTTAATATTTTATTTATGATTGATCGAACATTTGAAGAAGTCTGTGGTTATTAGTTACATTTAATAATTATTAAGGATACATGTATATATAAACTATGTATAAAAATATGAATTTTTATAATTATATTTATGTATATTATATATACATATCTAAATACGTAGGTGATATACATGTATATATTTATATATTTATGTACATGCAAATTTCGATTTAAAACAAAAAAGAAAAGAAAGAAAGTAACTTACATTTTCTTCGTCAATAATCAAAAGTAATGTGATCGAAAATTGGACGGATAGATCGATTAAAATTGGTACCGGAAAAAGCATTCCGTTTAGGAGCACTTTATTCAAAGTTTTATAATTATACGAAATTTAAATAGATTTAGAACGGAGCTTTTGGAAGAGTCAGAACACGCGCCAGAGCGAGCTCATTCGGACCATGACCCAGACCTATGTAACTCTCTCTTTTTCTTTCTCTCTCTCTCTCTCTCTCTCCCTCCCTCTCTCCTTCCATCTCTCTGTCTCTCTCTCTCTCTCTCTCTCTCTCTCTCTCTCTCTCTTTCCGAGAGTACATCTATGTACGAAATTAGTCGGCACGTTGCAAAAGGTCGCATTAAACTTTTCATCGGTCGCAGTCGGCTCCGAAAGGCTGATCTTTATCGAGATACGTTTGACTTTATTCAGATATAGTTCGGAATTATTTAAAAATAGAAAAAAGTTGAGGAGTGATTAAGAGTAACAAAATCGATTTTTCTATGAAAGTTATATTTTTCAGTAAAGCTGTTTATAATAGGTCTATCGAAATATTTTATATTTGTTTTACTTAACAAATTTTTTTTTATATAAAAACAACAGAAAATCAAGTTTTATTTAAAAATAATTTTTTGCTAAGTGAACGTAAAATAGATATAAAAGTAAATATGGCAGACGCAATAAACGTAGACGTAAAGAATTCTAATTCTTAATTTATAATTTATATTTTCTGTTTTACAGTGTTCTTCGAAAAAAGAGAAGGATTTCTGTTCAAATACGGATATGGTGTTGAAATTCATGAATATCCTGTTTCCGACTTCATTCGAAATTTATCCGTTTGTTAAACTTGTGAGTATTTCATTATACAATCTATGAGATGAAATTATTTCGTAAATAATACTTGTACAAGACGCTTTATTTACAAAGGGATTTACATTATGCAATGATAATTTCAAAACAAATGTAATCAATCCATTTAAAGATGCAGACTAAAAAAAAAGAAAAACAAACAAGTTTGTGTGTGCCTATCAAATGATGTTGTTTATCATCGGAATCGAACGGAGAAGTAAATAATATAGTTAGCTATCTTGAATATTAAACGGCAAAACTCATGAAAATTTTAGTCGCGTCGAAATGTCAATGACACGTGCCGATGGTGTTTGCACGTGAGAGAAAATGATTAAGTATCATTATGATTCATGTTGATCTCGCATGCGAGTTATTAACAACGTTAACCTCCACGCTTAGAGATGTCTTATGAATTTTATTGTAGCTCAATGTACTACTTTGGTCGACTGTGCAAATAAATTAAAGAATTTATACCTGAAATTAGAAGCGAACTTAATATCGTATGCTAGCTTCGTCGTATCCTTCGTCGAACGATTAAACTTTATTCAAGAATTTCGATCTTAAGTTATTCTTTTTTTTCTCTCTTAAAGATTCCATTTAAACGAAGTACATGGTCTCTTTCGAAGGGATTGTATAGTTTAGGATAACTTCGGAAAAGATGGCCGTGAATTCAAAAACAGGTCTACAATTTTGATCGTATCATTGAAAAATAAACAGATTTTTTTTTAATCATTTCTTTATCAATTAAACTCTTAATGATTTATCAACTCTGGCGTATCGATTGTATCATTTTTATAATAATAAAAAATAATCTTAAAAATAATAATAATAAAAAGTAAGTAAATTAGTAAAATATAAGTTCTAGTATAAATGAAATGGTTCAAATTAGCTAATCTAATCTATCAGCTTTCCTCTGTTCCTCAATCTATCAGCTGCGAAATGATACCTATTACCTTATGCAAAAGCGAAAAAAATGATTAATGATCTATAAGATTTTCAAAAAGTTTTCGCAGAATGGTCTTATGGGAATATCACGGTAACAATCATTTATTTAAATAAAATAATATACATTGACTCCAGTTTACCAGATTCTTAAAAATCGTATTCATATTATAAACATTTAGATCATGGTATTATTACAAACAAATGTATTGGGCCGCATTCCAAAAAGATTGAGAAACGCTGCTCCAAATTATTTTTAATAATATTCTTTCTCTTTTCTTTTTTTTTTTTATAAATTTCAATCTTGATAGACTTGTTACAGTGCAGACATTTATGATAAAAATTGCATTACATTCTAATCTTCAGTTTTCTTCGTTATATTATAATTTTTTTTTAACTTACACATTCATTTTTATAAAATTTTTGTTTCATCACTCATTTTCAATTAACAATTTCTATGTCGTTGCTAGCGAAAAAATTCTAATCCTTTTAGCAGCACGTTTGTTATTTTTAGAAAATATTAATTTATTTGATTTCTATTCTGTTGCTCCTCCTTTTTTTTTAGATTAATGCGTTTTTTAAACAATTAACTACTTATGAATTTTCCAAAATCAGATTTACAGTAAACAATATTTTTTTAGTATCAATAATAGTTTTAATAGAAGCATTGAATTATTGCATATCATGAACTCTGTAATTAATATATTATTATGAACATTTTTTTCGTCAATTGATGTAGAGTTTTTTTATACTTGTAGGAGAAATATGGTTAACTTATTCACGAAACTTATGGTCCATCTATTTTGAATTCATGGGAGAGTTTTGTCCTAGTCTTCTTTCGTTAATAAAAGTATCAATTTTAGAATTAAAATAAAGTAAATAATTTTCGTTGGATAATTGAATTAACAAAAGAATAATCAATTTTATAACGGAATAATCCAAATCATAGATCGATAATTAGCTAAAGTAAACATTATAAGTTCATATTTAAACAGATTATAAGCTATAAGTTACTTTTTTGTTTGTTTTTTTGTTTCTTTTTTCTGTAGTAAAAATCCATTTATGACGATTACTTATTACTCTTGTATTGCACAAATTATTATTTAATACTAGATAATATTTATTTCGTTAAATTCGATTAGATACGATTTTTTTTCTGTTCAAACATAAAATAAAATCAAACGTTCGTTTGAACTTTTATATTCAATTTAGAAATAAATCTCAAGAGAATATACATAAATTTTTACAATAGATTTGTTTCAACGGGTAAAAGAAAAAAAAAACTTGAAAAATGAAAGCGTGCGAGAAATATGTTTTAACAAGGCTCGTTCATACGAATGGAGACAAACTTTTCAAGGTCAAAATAAACTAACGGCATGAAGCGCGAAAAGTTTCATATACGTTTACGTCTATCAATGTCAGAAAGTATGCACCGTCTGAAGTTAATCGGTCGTGGCTTCCGGACCGTGCATTGCATTCTCTTTCGAATTAAGGAACCAAGAGAACGTGCATTGCACTAACTGAATATTGATCTCAATATTAAATTTGTGCCAGAATTTTCTTTAAAATGCGATAAAAATAATCATTAAGACAATTCATCGAAAAAAAACAAAAATTAAAATAATTCTTCTAAAATATAATCAGACGAAATAATTAATTTTGTATTATTATCATTTATAAATAATTATTAAATTTAATTAATAATAATAACAATTGTTCAATTAACGATTTAATAATTAAAGTTAAGATATGACTAATTAATGATAGAATCATACACAAAACAATTTGTTTTTCTTTATTATCCTCTTTAATAATATAATAATATATTAAGTATGATTACTTAATGATAATTAATATAATTAATGAATTAACAAAAATAAATTAGGACAAATTTGTATAGTGTTATTTTTAAATTTCTTGCATGATATTGTATTATTTTTGATTGATTATCGATGAGGTCTTTCAACAAAAGACTTGTGATTTCAAATAACAATTAGTCAATCAGAGTATTCTATGGTGATATTAGATTCGTCGAGAGAGTATGACTAGATACTAAGCTGTATACTGGGAAAATTGAAAAGTTGGATAAATGCCAAAAAGATCGGCGACAAGGCTCATCGGTCGATGTAACAGTGCCAAAATAGCATACGCAGAGGAACGAAAATACGAATTTACGTGCACTCGTAGAAATATACCTTACGTAGAATAGTAGCTTTATTCTCTCTCTCTCTCTCTCTCCTCTCTCTCTCTTCTCTTTCTGTCTTTCTTTCTCTTCGTAGTTTGAAACTCGCTCGGTCGTTGGCACGACTATCGCGACTACATACGTTTAATGTACGATAAACAAGAAAATAAAGGTAATCTTAAGCCAAAACAATATTGTTGAGGTATATCATTTAATGATATTTATATCGTATCATAAAGTTTTCACGAACGGTCATCGATCATAATTGAAATTTATGTTTGCTAACTACTATTATATTCCTTTTGATTTTATTGAATTTGATTAATTTCGAATGAATTTTCAGGAACCATTTGAATTTGGAGATCCTATGTCAACAATGGCGGGTTATCGAAGGGTGAATATCGTGACAGCCAATGAAACTATGACCGGCAGCAGTATAGCGAGCAACATGATTGGCGAGTCCGGCGAAAACCCAGTCGACACTCTTCGATCGACCACGCGACAAGTAAGCTCGTCGTTTCTCGTCATTGTTAATGCACTGTCTATCCTCATAGATTGTTCACCAATCAAGACGAAGTGATTTCTTCGTAAATTTTTTTTAAGTATTCTAACTAAAGAGATCATCTTAATGATCCTACATTAATTGATGGGAAGGGTTGAAGTTGTATTTAGAAATGTATATATGTGTGAGTGTGCCAATGTATACATTGAAGAGAAGTTTCGAATAAAATAGTTCTTTCAAAATTGGACAAAGTATTTTGAATTGGTAAGTACCTTTAAAGATATGAATGGTGCTGTGTAATGTATGCTAAGTATTGAAAACAAACAAAAAAATAATGAAAAAATAATGGTGGTTAGTTTTAACCAGTATTGATCATATAATACAATCCTTCAAATTGATCGATTAATTGTTTTCTTTGAAATTAGACAATATGGATTTTTTATTTTTTCTTTTACTTTTTTATCAATACCACTACCAATAACTATCTTCTGTATTTAATTCTTAACATACCTTGGTGCAGTATATTAATTCCTTTCTACAATAATTACCAATTCAAAATATACTGTATGATCTGATACAAAATGATTCGGTAAGGAGAAAGAAAAAAATATTTTCAATGATCACATGCGTGTTGATCAGTGTGCGTTATGCGTGTGAATTTTCGACTTACACAATGATATTTCCGTTTAGACAATAAAAATGGAGAAGACATGAAAAAAGAAGCTTGGCAAACCGGAGGGGATACTCCCACCAGATTCCCATTAATGCATCTTACTATACATACATACATACGTACATATATACATATATACATATATATATATATATATATGTATATATATATATATATGTACATATATATATATATATGTATATATATAATACATGCACACATGCGTACATATGTTAATCAGTCGTGCGTACGTTTATGCGCACACGAGGCACCGACCGAGGCGCGAGAGCTTAACCGACATATAAATAGCGTGTTTAAAGAGAGCCGCTAGAACTCGTGTATACGTCTTGCGAGACGATCGTAAGAGTACCGATAGAAATTCAACGAAGATCAGTGCTTGTTTCGTCAAAAGTTTTTAAAGAAAAAAGATTCTACGTCGAAGGTGATATTTTGATAAAGAAGAAAAGAAAAAAAAATCGCGAATTTCAAATGTGCAGTGTTGCGTGCAATGAAAATATATATATATTTATCAGCGATCCTTTGGACAATGTTTTAATGAAAGTAAATGAAGTAAAATAAAATACTTTGAATTATTTCAATGATATGACGTTATTAACAGAATAATTTTAATTAATCGTAAAAAAACAAGAAAACGCTGTTATTTAATACAATTAATAAGAAATGTTTATATCGTTTAACGTTTTTTTGAAACAAAACGAAGAATTTTTTGTTTTTTTTTTCTTTTCCAGGAAATTAAGTTACCTAAACTAACGTAAGACCTATCAACGTTGTAAAAGAGAAAAAATAGGTCGTTGAAATCGCTGCACGCATACCTGCATCGATCAACTAGTGCTGCGCTCTTTTTATCGCGACCCTTTTGCATGTTAATTTTGTTGGATACGGTAGACCTGCTAACTTTCTAACGAAGTAACATTTTTGTTCGAAAAATGATCATGATTGGTTATTGACCCGTATCAAAGTTTCCATAAGTTTGAGAATTTTATAAGTTCGTATCATTAAATATTAGAATATTTTGAATTATTAAAATATATATTCAAATTATATATATATATATATATATATATATATATATATAATAATTAAATATTCCAATTTATAATATAATAATATAAAATAATAATATAAAATTTATAATTCGTTATTGCCTTTTATTTAAATTACAACTCTAAAAGTTTGTATTATAAAATATTTAAATAATTCAAATGATTAAATATTCAAATTATATGTATATAATAACAATAGTAATAATAGTAATAATAATAATAAAAATTATAGTAATATTAATTAAATATCCAGCTTATAAAATTGATACGAATACTTCGTATTTAAGTGTATTTATTGAATTAATAAGTTTATTAGATCATTCAAAATAATGATCTTAATCATTATTTATTGAACTGTTTGTGTGACAGAAAATTCGACGCGTTTACGGAGAGCAGAACGGTTATCAGAAGAGTTATCAGAAGAACGAGAAGACACGTAGGACAAGCAACGTCGTCAACAATTACAGCATCGTCGCCTCCAGAGGCGAGCTTTCTCGAAATAACTACACCGTCGGTGAGACGTCGAGGGACGTTCCGAAGAAACGAGCGTCTTTCGTCAACTCGAGCAAGATCTATGCGAAGGAGTCAAATTCGTGTACATCCGTGTTCCTCGGAAGAGATTTAACTGGGAAATATTTGTCAAAGGACATTGAGAGGTCACAACCCTCTACCATAAGACAAGGTCGAGCTTACAATGGTAGTACACGAATTTTAGCTAAATCCGTGTCCGTCCCAGCGATTCTTGAGGAAGGTATTGTCTTCATTGGTTTTTTTTTATATTTACGATGTTTTATTTTTACTGTATCGTGGTCTCATAAATTTATCTTTTCGTTTGGCAAACTATCAATTTTCATTTGACTCTTAACCAGTCTGTAATCAAAGTAAAGTAAAGAAAAAAGTAGAATGTTATAACAAGATTAGATTAATTAATAGTCAATATTTTAACAGAAAACTCTTTGTGCATATGTAGACATGTCCCTACACATATGTCAACGTAAGCAGACTTGATTTACGATTTTCACGCGTAACGCCTTACGGCAATATTTTTTAACATTGTACATGTCCTCTTGCATCATACGTCATTGATATGGCATACATACCTTCTGTCACATTGAATCATGATTTCGATTGGTTCATCTCGTTCATCATGGTTCTGAAGGTCGCCATAAAAAAATTGAAAGATTGTAAGATTCTTTCTAAGATTTTTTCTTTTTTTTATAAAAATTATTTTGAATCTTCTTATCTTATACTCCTTTTATTAAATTTTATCTTATACTTTTTTTATTAGGTTTACAGCGAAAGGAGAAAGCTCTTGTGAAAGACGAAAGAAGACACGACGAAGGTATATTGAAAAGATCATCAGCCTTTTTAGCGAGTTTAACTCAAACAAGTCATAGATCAACTGAGAAGAGGGATAACGTTACCGAAGATTCTTTTACTTCATTTACTGGATCTTCGAAATCAAATGGGTATAGATCGAGATATTCTACTTTGAAAGGATACTTCTCGATTTTAAATAACAGCGAGAACGAGCTCAGACCGGTGTTAGGACAATCGACTAGCACCCAGAATTTGTCAACTAGCTGGAAAAAAAACGTTGGGGTCAACGTCAAAAAATCAGTGTCCTTCAGCTCGGATACTAGTTTTGAAAAGAAGCGAGCACCCTATCGTAAGCCAACTATTCACGAGGTCAAGGTCTACCACAAGGGCGTTCTTCAAGGTAACTACGTGTCTCTTTCGTGCTTTAATTATATTATCTAGCACAAAGAAGTCATTAGATTTGTGATTTTTTAAATATATTTTTTGTCTATGTCCTCAATGTGTTGATAGTCACGATGATATAGTTAACTAATTAATTATCGTAAGATAAATACCATTGAATAAAAAATAACTAAATAACAATGTAAAATAATTGTTATTAATCATTTTCATTTCTGTTATAAATAGAATAATGAAACTATGAATACAAAAAATTCATATTTATATATTTATAAATATCTATATAAATTATTATTTCGAATATATAAAGAGAGTTCATTTGTTTCCGCTTATTTCAAAGTTGATGAAAATAATATTTAAAAAAAATTGAATTTTGGAATAAATTATATTAAGACAGTATAAAGAAAAATATTGCTGATTATCGCAATCTACACAATACGTTCTTACTTTTTTATGTAAATTTGTACTATTTCTGTATGGTAATAATTTATGGTATACAAAATACGTGTAACAAATAACGTTTTAACCAATCCCATCTTAAACTTCGTTCATCAGTAGTACTCATCCATTATTTTCTAAAATTTATTCTATCAAACGACAGATCGTGCCACTCGCGAAGAGATTATCAAAACAAAAGTGCCACCTTCGTGGGAAATACCCTCGGAGGGCCCCAAAGCCCTCTTGAGGGCTGCTATGGAAGCCGACGACACGATTTTGAAAGAAGTCGTGATGCGTGCTCGCAAATCTGACTTGTGTGATGTCGACGTTAATATGACTGACAGTAGTGGCAGGGTGAGTTTATTGAATTATTTTTATTGCTTGTATATAAGAATATATATATATATATATATATATATATATATATATATATATATATATATATATATATAATTATTCCAACTGTATCGAATACTTAAGTCTTCTCATTATGTATGTATATATATTTTTTTTGTAATATTTTTTAGTAATATTTGGTAATATATTTTGGTTTCGTTATAAGGATAGAAAATCGTAATTCGTCATAATATTTTTTTAATATTTTCGTTAAATAGATATACATATATATCCAAAGTTATTAATTTATAATTTATCTATAATAATTTCAATCAGTTATACGTATATAATCGTGTGACAATAATGTTTCTATGTAATGAAGATGTGAAAAACTAATGAGAACAGTTTTCTCGTCATTATGATTATTTAAAAATAATGAAAAACGAAAGTAATCTGTCAACAGATGTGTGATTTTCAAGTCAGATTGGTATTAAATATCCATTACGTGAATTATTATAAAATAAATAAGTGATTAGAAGAGTTTATATAATATAAATTTTCTCTCTCTGTGTGTGTGTGTGTGTGTATATATATATATGAGAATGTCCTGTAGCTTCGAAGAACCGTTCTGATGGTAGATTCTTCACATTAAAGCAATAAAAAAACTTTATACATGCTCTGTTTGATCTTGTTTTAGAGTCATAGCAATATTTTCTTCAATATATTATCTCTGTTTACTTTTGCTGAAAAGGTGTATAAAATAATCTCTTTGTATCTGAATATAAGATTGGAGACATTTTATCATTGATTCTTACCTTCTCCATTTCTCTAGATATTGTTCGTATTTTCAGGTAGTCTTGTTCAATTCTCACGTGAAGTATTTTAACATTGTAAATCAAATGACGTTTTGTACACGATAAATTTCAAATAACTTCGCAAGTTATAATCACTTTATTCAACATCAGATATTAAGCTCTGTTTATAAATAAGTAAATGAAATTAATTCAGCTACTTCCATTTTTCGATAGAATTATTTTAACATAAAACTCGTTATTAAGTGAAAACAAGATTAAATATAGTGTATATTTATATGAACTTTTTAAATTGTTTTCATGTACAGAATCCATTCCCGAAGTGATTCTACGAAGTTACGGAAAACCCTGTATATATAGATATACATAAAAGATTCATAGATTTATTACATATTCAATCATTTATTTTATAATAATTTACGTAATGGATGTTTAATATCTCTATAGAAAGAGAAAGAGAGAGAGAGAGAAAGCTAACAATCAGACTTCAGACTTGTTTATTTACAAATTGTCATATCGATGAGAAAATTGCTATTATTGGCATATTGCTTGTTTCTAGATATATTTCATTGGCTTGTCATATTTTCGTTAGATATAAACATTACAGAAATATATTGATATTTTTCGCTGTAAGATAATACTATAGGAATCAAGGAATTAATGGTTATAGATATATATGTACATGATGAACTTTAAACAAAATTCTGATGTTAAAGATGTTCACATATGCATTGATGTAATACATAAGACGTAAAACGTAAATCGTAGTATGTAAATACCATTACATAAAACTGCCGTAAGACATAAATTTTAATCAATAAAAGGTGATCATAAAAAAATAGCGCTTAAATATCATTTTTAAATGTAAATTGTTGCCTTTTGCATCTTTGTTTTTCTATTAATAGAATTAACATTTTATTGAACAAAAACACAAATGCTCTTTTGAAAATTTCAATTGCAATATATAGGTACATAATATTTAAATCTGTATATTGTTACCGTGTTGGATCTATAAAAATTCAAATATCAAGTTTAAATGCAGGGAAGTATGAGGAAAGTAGAAATGTATGTGATTGATTGAACGTAAGATATATGCCGTAAAAATTTCATCCTTATAAAATTTTTTTTTATCTCTACGATTTACGTTTTTTGTTTTACGTTGATACATGTGTGAAGGACTTTAATTTGAAGAGATACATCAAATTTGTGAACCAGTTGTCTCGTATTTTATACTCGTTACGTCAGAAGATATACTTCAAGATAGAGAAATTCATTGTTCCGTTTACGATGCCGATCGTGTTACGATAAGCACGATTCCTTTGTTTTTCTTCGCCGTTCGAGAATACGAGCTGCTTCGTTTGATTGTTATTCCAACCAATTTCATTCGAAATCATTTCACGAAGTATACGAATTGTATCGACACCCACGTAATGTCTTTCGTGGAAAATTTTCCACCTGGAAAAAGACAGAGAAAGATAGAATGAAACTGTTAAAAGATTCAATTTATTATTAAAAAAAAAAAAAGAAAAAAGAAAAGAAAATGGATATAAAATGAAATTCAACATTCGAAATTCTTCTACTTTTTCTTAATAATAAACTAAACATTTTTAGATTAAAGCAAACGAATTTATTTAGATGAAAGGCAAAGAAATTGAAAATTAAACTATATATATATATATATAAAAAATTAACCTACGTATATCTAAAAACATCAGGTACAAAACTCAGCTAAAAAATACAAAGACATAAATAATAACATAAATATTGTTGATATCTCTGAAAGCCCTCAATGATACTCACGTGGAATCGATCAAAGTGGAACATCCTGTATAGAAATATAACTCGGCAGATACTTTACAATCTACGCTATATACTATTTCGAAGGATGTCTTCGGCGAAAGGGAATTCAAAGGAACAACTTCTCTGATGGCTACAGAAACTCGACCGCGCGGAATGACAATTTGTATTTATAGCTTACCATATACATTAGTCGTGTACGCGCGCGCTTATTGATTTTCCACAGCAAATGCAGAAAAAGGAATATCTTTTGAATGGCGACGTTGAATAAGAGATCGACTGCTTTTCAAACGAAAAGATATCTTTATTGTAACATACATCGCACGCACACACACGTGTTAGTTTTCAATTATTATTATTTTTTTATATTATACTTTTGCAAATGACAAAAATCTTTCTAACTGTTGTCTGCCTATTTATGTGTGTATGTGTGTTTCTCTCTCTCTCTCTCTCTCTCTCTCTCTCTCTCTCTCTCTCTCTTTGATGAATGAAAATATATTTATTATAATATATTAGTTTTCAATTATTATTTTTGTACATTATACATTGGCAAACGATGAGAATATTTTTTTAATTTTTTCTTATAAACAAAAAGTTATTTTTAATGTAATATATCAGTTTTCAATTATTATCCTTTTAGACACACATGCATATGCGTACATACATACACATATATTATAATTTTATAAATAATAAGAACGTCTTTTTCCTTCTTTTCATTTCTCTCTTTTTTCTTTGTTTATTTCTTTTTATTCTCAAACCTTTCGAAGATCAATGAGTAACATGAACATTCTGAGAATAAAATCATTCAAAGAGATTTACAATCTATTATATATACATATCCTTCGCTATTTTCTTCAAAGCAGCAAAACGTAATGAACGTTTCCATATGTAATGTTTCTGACCGCATTCCATATGCGTTAATATCGTACCGAGATTAAAGTCAAGTTACCCTCTTCTTCGGTTCTGACCATATCAAGTATACGAATGACCTTCTTCTTTCTCTTCTTAGTCTTCTTCTTCTCTTTCTACTTCATTAAAATTGATGACGATGATGATGGATTTGAAGTCGTTAGAAAAATATTACTTGAGAGTGATATCAATATAATTTATTTCAATAATTAATATGAGAAAACGAAAGAAATGATGATGAATGACTAAATAATGGCGAATGAGTAACGGAAGTTAAACTACTTTATGGAATAATTAATAAAGATTTTTGAAAATAATATTAATTAATATCTGTGTTGACGAAACGTATGAGACATGTTATTTAAATGGAAGTAAATAAGAGGAATATATTTAGCTGCTGAAAAGAGTTCTGCGATTAGAAATAAAGAGAGAGAGAGAGAGAGAGAGAGAGAGAGAGAGAGAGACTTGCGTGCTTAGCTATTCTAATTACGGGTACTACCAATTGGAAAGGTCCTTCTCTTTCTTCTTCTTCCTGTACCTCTCTCTTTCTTTTCTCTCTCTTTTTTTTTTCTTGTTCTCGTTATGTCTTCCGATGACGTGCTATGCATCGTTGATTTACATTGAATATTATCATGGATCACCGGCATCGTCTTGATGAGATCGATATTCTCTTGTCGATCTTACATGACTACGTACTTCCGTTCTTTTCTATAGTGTCTTAGAACAGTATATACATGATAAATTTATAATCAAAACATCGACTTAATTAAAGATGATTTATTAAGAATAAAACATTAATTCTATGCCGAAGTGAACAAGAATTAAAGTTTAATTTTTCGTTGAAGACGATAAATTAAGTAAAAATATTTGTCGATACGATTAAATGTATATGTACATATATTTTTTTTTTTTTTTAATATGACAGTTGTATTCGTTGTCAATAAGAGATGAAATTTCGAAGATTTTATGTGAGATCAAATATGAAAATAAATTTTTTGATTTAATACGCTCGGATTAAGAATAGAATGTGAAATATTTTTTGATGAAAATCGTGTTTTCAATTATTTATATATATTTTTGTTCTTTTTCTTTTTTATGAGCCGTTAAAAATATTACGAAAAGAAAGTCAATCCATAGCCGCATAAAAATGTGATAAGATCACTGCAAATGTTCTCCGTAACGATGGAACAAATCCACACCCAGTAAATCGTCGTTTCGTGCTTAGCACCTACTAGTGTGTATTTTCATGTGGCGTATAGTGACGCAAGTAAAGTAATAACGTTGGGACGATCGCACGAACGTCAGTGCCCACTTAATAAATTGATCCTCAACGGATAGTCCATTATGTGTCTTGCCGAGATCAACGTTGTTACAGAATGAAACCGATGACATGTGTTGTATCATCTGTTTTTTTCTCTCTCCCTCTTTCTCTCTCTCGCCCTCTTTGCCCTCTCCCTCTTTCTTTTTTTTCTCTCTCTTTCTCTCTCTTTTCTTTCTTTTTAGAAATCACAGAGACTTATTTCTCTTGCAACATAATCACACACACAACCACATACACACATACACAAAGTCTAATGTGTGCGTGGATGAGCATTACGTATTTTCTCAGATTAACCTGCTGCGAATTTGCCATCATCTTTTCAGATGTTTGCTATTTTAACATTTAACATTACGTCATTTTAATTTTAAATAGAACAATACAATAACATAACAAACTAATTTATATCGGAATTACGGTTGATTTTTTCTTTCTTTCTTTTTTCTCTTTTTTTTTTTTCAATTTAGCATCTTGGCATCGACTCCTGTAATTTATTGACCTATTTTTTCTTTAGTTAATTATTTTTACAATTAAATTTAACAATACTGTAGTTAATACGGTTACAAAAATCCATTTTGTTTTTATAAAAATATTTTAATTTGATACTTATAACTCTTTCTTTCTCTCTCTCTCTCTCTCTCTCTCTCTCTCTCTCTCTCTCTCTCTCTCTCTCTCTCTTTCTCTTTCTTTCTCTTTAGACAATCATTATATTTTGTTACATATGTAGTTCTCACTAGGAGACAAAATCACTGTAATCTTGTTCTTATTAGTCGAAGTAGCCTTATTAAATGTTTTTTATGTTATTATAGAAACAAAATGGATCTTTTTCGTAATCGTTTTTAAAGTTAAATAGAAAAATAATGAAATAAAGAAAAAAGGCTAAAAGCCAAAACGGTTGAAAAATTAATGGAGTCACGATATAAATGATACATAAAATATTAAATATTATTAATTTATAATAAAAGAAAAATAAAATCAATAATCGAGGATTCTCCGAATAAAAAGAATTCGATGTCATGTTAAATCAAATATAAATAAAAAGTATTACGAACAAAAATGGTCGTCAAAGAAGGGGAAATAAAACAATTATATTTAATTTGATTATTGTTTGGTTATGTTTTATGATTATTTATAAAGATAATTATTAATATGGAACCGTTGAAATTATAGTATCGCCCACGCACGATGTTGACGTCACGTTCGAAAGCATCCGGATTCTCTCGCGTCACGGCACTTCTCCTGGCATATCAATTTGTCCGTTAAGAAAATCAACTAACGTCGTGATTACATGTTCATGTTTGTAGACGGCTATAAGCTACATGGCTGGAAATGGTGCTGCGGCGATGTTGGAGTTGGCATTGTCCTTCGAGGGTGCCGATCCTAACCTTCCTGACAACGAAGGCAACACACCACTTCATTTCGCGGCTCAAGCTGGTGAGTAAATTATAATGAAAATTATTTTTTTCTTCAGTTTAACAAATAATTGTTTCTTATTTTTTCAGATTTTTTCTGATTTTTTATTTCTTTCTTTCTTTCTTTTCTTTTTTTTTTTTTTCATTAACATTTTCAACATTTGCTACAAGTTCCTGTCCTGGTCCTTCCCGTAACAATGAAACGGATTGCATGTTCCATAGCAATATTGTTGAGTCATAGAGATGCAAAAGATAGATTATCGTTTCCTATCTTTTTCTTATTCAAGGCTTACATACGTATGCGATCTTAAGTACTTTGAATAAATAAAATTCGAACATTTTTTAAATTAATTTCAAATTAGAATAATTCTTAATTGTTTTCTTTTTATTTACATGTTAAATATTTTTTGTAAATTCCTATCTCAATTTTTTTCATTGTAACAACTATAAAAACAATTTGTACAATGAATTGCCCGTGTTTATAGCAATAATATTGAATCGTAAAGAACAATGATTCAAGCGATAGATTATATATTCTGGATATATAAATATTCTGGATATATAAACAATATTGAATGATTTAAATATTCACTATGTTTGTTTTACTCAAAGCTCGTATATGTAAGTATTCTAGATATTTAAATAATATTGGATGATTTATATATTACATTCTTTAAAGTGAAAGATTTGATAATTCGCCTCTTTATTTTCTAAAATTTAATGACATTTATTATTGTTAATACGATCCATTCTACAAACATTTAACGATAATTTTCTTTCCGATTGTTTGCGAAAATTTATTGAGTTCGTGAGAACTCGTTGAGTTTTCAGATCTTTCGTAAATTCGTTGGAGAGTTCTGTCGGTAGAATCTGTTAAACTTCAAGAGCCTACTCGCTTTGCCCGTACCTTTCGAAATTTTGTAAACAGTCAGCGAAAAGTCGATTAGAAAATGCTTGGAACGCGACTCGAGGCTAATGCCAAAGTCTCGTATGTGTGTAGGCAATGCTAACCAACGTTACCGAAAATAACTGACTTTGGAATATTCGATACTTGCGTGGTACGTGATGACGTGCACTGAAAAATCTGCCTTCGTTTTGTGCGTGTGTTACCGAGTCCACCATTATCTACACGTATATATACATATATATACATATACATATATATATACATATATATACATATATATATATATATTTATATATATATACACCTATATACGTATCTACATACTTATTCATTAAATCATAATACATCGTAGAAATATTCAGGGATTTTCCACGAATTTAAAAAATATTTTTAGACCGACGAAAAGTGATATGTTATATTAGCGCTAAAAAGAAATGAATATAAACTTTTTACAATTTTTTTTTATAAAATTTATCTATTAATAAATTAAAATTGTCGAATATATTAGGTTTACCAAAAAGTTCCGCGCGTTCTGTTTATATTTTTCTTTTTTATCTTTTTTAATCCTTATTACTCTAACTGACATTAATTTTCATTTTTTTTTGTTTTTGGTATTTGTACTTACGCAATATTTATAAACATTTTTAATAATATACGACTATCTAATAAAAAATATGTAGCGTCTTTTTTTGACATGTTAAAATTTACAAGATTCATTTGAAAATACATTGGCAAACATGTTATAATATTCTTGGAATAACATGGATTAAAAAATGATGTTTTATTTAAATATGGTTGTGTATTTTTCATATAAGCTGACAAAAAACTTTTTGGTAAATCTAAAATGAAGGAGAAAATAAACGAACTCGAATTTTTCTACTTTTTAGATATTTATTTATATTTGCTCGCAAAGTTTAGAGCATTCTGTTTAGACTATAAACAGTTGAGCATTCCGTTTCAAAAATTGTCCATATATTTCTGTGATTCACTGCATGCCGGCTAAAGTAGGCTTTTTTTATTTACTTCTTCATATCGTAGGTCAAACCGAGTGCTTGAACGTTCTTCTTCAAAGGTGTCCCGACATCGAGGTCGATGCGAGAAACACATTGGGATTCACGCCTCTTATGAAGGCAGCCCTTCAAGGACGAACGAAATGCGCTAAAATATTACTCTTTGCAGGTTAGTGATTTATAATCTTTATAATTTTCTTTCTAAAAAAAAATTATATAACATGAAACTAATAAACATTTGTCTTCGGATTGAAATTAACAGGTAATTTTTCATTTTAAAATATTTTATTTAATGAAAAAAGAAAAAAAAAACAAGATTTTGAACTTCCAAATAGCCACGAGGCACAGTATTTTTATATATGTTTTTTATATATACATATATATATATATATTTATTTATTTATTATGATTTTATATATAAATAAATAGTTTGCGTTTAAAATTAAATATAAATGGACATTTTCCATCAAATAATTTCCTGAAATAGAGAATGGTGAGTAAGGTTGATGCTAAGGTAAGGAATACGAAAAAGAGTATCTTCTCATGAAACGATTAAGAGTTTCTTTTTCATGGTACACAATTTTCTAGAAAATTGCTTTTAATGTAGTATTTCTTCCTCTTTTATGTAGGAATTAATAGATTATTACTTATACTAATATTTATATGGGCTATCTAACGAATAATATTGGCTGTACTACTTATACAGAATTTAAAAGTCATCCAATTTATAGTCACTAGTATTTCTTATTTATTTTTTGCTCCACATCATGTAAATTTCTTGTTCAATGTTTTATAGTTTTCGTATTTCAAGGCTATATTATAGAACAAATAAGAAATAGAAATGTAAAGATAATAAAAATACTCGATATGTTATCGTTATAGCTTCATGTAACATGAAAAATTATTATAAAAACATAATTAAAAAAATAAAAGAATTGTTAATTGTTAATATGAATATTTATAATTATTATATGGTCTATCTCTTGCTTGTATGAAATTTATAATTTCAAAATAAATTTGAGTAATACTATATATTATACTTAAAAATATATATTTAAAAAATAAGAAGTGCAAATTGTTATGGACGAATTTTTAGATAATGAAACAATAGTATAACAATAAGATGTTGAATTAGCTTATTAGATTAAGTAAAAAAAAAATGAAACAAACATTAAAATACAAATATATGAATGTTTGACTTCAAAGACAAAAAAGATTACCTTAAGAGTTCATTTAATTATTATCGATAATTGATCGATTTATAATGAAATTTAGCATCGATTATCATAACATTTTTTGATCATTTCTTCTTATTATTATTTTTTATATCATAGGAGCAAACCCCACGTTACGGGATCATGGAAGAGGATTAAGAGCTGAACAATGGGCAAGATTTTGTGGGAGATATGTTTGTGCCGAAGTAATTGAGAGATTCGCAAGACATCGTTTATTAGAGAGAACTACATCGTGTCGTTGGGGTAGTGAACCAGAATTAGCAGCGAAAGTTCTTCAAGGAAAAGTACGCTGGGTTGTAAAATAAAACAAAAATGTTCGAATTTATTCGTACATATTTATTATCAATGTATCTATACATTATAATATATATTAAAATTAATCGAATAAGTCCAATATAGTATATCATTAAATTTCAGTAATTATTATAAAAATAGATTTTTCTTTTCGTAATAATAAAAAATCTATTTCTATACAACGATATAATAATAAAAATATTTACATTTTTTATTAATAAAAAAAACACATTGTTATCATTAATAAAAATACCTATATTTAAAGAAATAACAATAAAAATTAAATTAATAATAATAATATAGGTATTTTTATGGTCATTTTATTAATAATGCGAAATACCTAAATTCTCTTTTTTAATCTTTAAGAACTCATCCTTATTAATGAAAAACTTTAATTTGTATCACAGGTAACGCCTATTCCAACAACACCGTTACCAACCTCCTCAACAGGTCTGAAATCGAGGATTAGAAAAGTATTTCGAACGAGTTCAGGTCCCGACCGAAGTTCCTTTTCCTTGGTTTCGCAATTGACGAGTGCAGCTCTCTGCGCAAGTAGTCCTGCGTTGCCAAAGAACGGTCAAGTGCCACCAGTCGTCAAGAGTCTTCTCCGACCTCTTAGTGTACCGCAGTTAAGGTACGAACTGACAACTTGAATTGAAACAACAGCGTTTTTTTTTTGATTTTTTGTTGTATAAAAATAGAAAAAAAAAATATGATCAGACGCTAACGTGGCCATCATTTTGTTCATTTCTTTTTTTCTTTGTTTTTAGGATCACCTTAGTTTCGCCGCAAGATTTCATCGAGAAAACCGGCGAAAAGTGTGGCGCGAGTTTTGTGGAAAGAATCGAAAGTACCATTGTGAAGCCACCGAGAACGAAAAAGAAAAGCAAGTAGTTGATCGTTCCACAAAATTCCATTGAAAGGAAAAAGAAAATCACATTGTGTTTACGTTGTATAATCTTTCTTAAACGCGACGACCTTTTTGAATCGAATAACTCATAAGTATGATAGCTTTTTTATAAATAGCTGATCGGTTTTATCGTCCACGAGCAGTGAGTTTATGGTGGAAAATTAAAGATCAAAGATCAAAGGGAGTTCCTTCAAATTCTACGAGGATTCTCAAAGTGTTTCCACGTTTTACGATCGCCGTTTAAAATTGTGTGTGTTTCGACGTAAACGCCATGACGCCGTAGTCAAAGCTTATAAACATTTTTCGAACCGGTCGGAGCTTTATATTTTTAGATTATCAACGTTCTTAATTGATCGCTTCGATGCGATCTAAGGCACTCGTTGAAAATTTTTTGTGGAATGATATACTTAATGGTGGAATTACGTTTTACGTCGATCACCAAAAGTGCGAAAACGAAGAGTCACATTGTCCTTGAACATTTAAATATTTATCCTGAGAGCAACGACGCCGAAGAAAGCCGTTTGGCGAATTGCCCGAACAAGTGTTTACTCTTAATGAATGATGTTAAACTTCTTTTAAGTACGTGCGGTATGAAACTTTTGTATGGACTACTATGATGATCACATGATTGTTTAAATAAACGTCTCATTTGACATTGAAAATAGTTCGATCTCGAGAATTTTTCATTCTGATCTTCGATTTCGACGTTGCCTTCGATTTTTAGCTTTAGATAGTATTTCATAGGCCTGCTGTATTTCCATAAACTTCTCTTGAGCCTTTCGCCTCTCCTCTTTCGTACCCTTAATTTTGTCTGGATGATTATCTCTTGAAAGAGTTCTCCATTTAGCCGTAATTTCGCTTTGCGAGGCCGTTTGAGATAGGCCAAGAACCTACGGTGAGAAAGAACGATGTATGTTTTTTCATAATATCAAAAATATTATATGAAGTGCTTTTTGTACAAAAATAATTTTTTCAAAGGAAATGATTTTAAAGTTTGAGATTAACAAAAAAAAATCCTATAACTATTATTTTCTCTAGAATACTCTAGAACATATATTAATTTTGTATATCGTGTAAAAAAATCATACCTTATAAGCGTTTATTTCACCTCGTGGATCAGATAGATCCACGATTTGAGCCCAGGTTGCCCAAAATCCTTGATGAACCGCTTGATTCCAGGTTGCTTCCAAACTCGCCTAGAAATATGAAATAAAAAAAAATATTATACAATTTATGCATATATGTTTACAATACTTTTTTCTATGTTATATCATCGAATAATCGTTAAAGAACACGTTAGAAACAAACCTTAAGATCAAGCCAAATAGGTGAAGTAAAGAAGTGTCCAATCGCATCTGACAATTTAATTTCTTCATTTTCACTGTCCGTGATAACAGCATTGAAGTATAGATAACTACCTATCAATGAAAAGTACAAACTAATAGCTAAGAATAGAGCTAGCATTCTTTTGATCCATCTTTGCTTCTTTTTTGGTTTTAAACGCCATCGTTTGCTGAATGTGTCGAATGCTAAATTCGATGCAAGCACCATGAGAAATACCCAAATGGTGTCATCACCGATGTAATATAGAATTGGATAAACGAGATAAGCTGCAACAAGTGCTGCCCATATGGTACCTTCTTCTTTACCAATGTTACCAACTGTCCAAACTCCTGTTAAATAATAAGATATTTATTTTGAATTAATTTTAATTTTTACAAGTTTTTGATGAAGAGAATGATTTTAGAGGATTGTCTAACAATTAAATGAATTTGTTAACATTTCTTCAGAAATGCTTCCTATGATAAGATCACAATGTTGTAAGAAACAATTTCTAATTTCGAACAATTTTCCAGGAACATAAAGAAAATTTCGAAAGAGGATTCTATACTGTATGTCCAACCTAAAGAGGGCGAATACGCTGTAAAAAATATATTTTTGCGAAAATCGTCGATTCTTCTTTTTCCTGATATATGTAAGTGAATATTTTTTTCCCTTGTATGTTGTATGTTGTATGTTATATGTTGTATGTTTGAATATATATAATGACATGTCCTTGAATTGATCTTTAATTCCTAAAATTAAAATGAAATATTAAAAATTATTTCCAGGATTAATTATATCGATTGTGTCAGAACATACCATTACATATGTGTGAAATTTTTTTTTCCTAATTTTGTCCTTTTTTCCTTTTTAATTCTAGCTACGACATGCCAGGAGAAAAAATGTACACTTAGGTATATACAAAAAAAATATCGGTGACCTTGAAAAATGACTAAAGCACTAAAACATTCTTTGCAGCGTATTCGTCATTTGATGTCATTCCAATTGTATGTAAAATATATTTTGTATCATCACAAATGAATGTGTTTTACTTTTTAGATGGTTACATTTAGATGGGATATTCTGTATATCTATAGATTATATTGCCGGTTCAGAGAAACTCGGTAGTACCACGTGCAGCTTCACGTACTACTGAGATAATACGCAATAAGAAAAAAAATGCAATTGGTTAGCTAATCTTTGGCAGTTCGTCATTTTAGGTGCTGTTGCAATTTATTCGTCTCTGAAGCCGCTATCCTTATCTTTAATTATCGTTAATGTTAATTCTTAAAATCACCTATACACTAGCAATATTTAGCATTTCTTATTAACAGGAAAATAGGAAAAGAACCTCTTTGCAATTAAATATATTGGGTAAAAGATTTTGAAGAAGTGATTGAAATTTGTCAGTAACCACAAGCACAGAAAATAATCTTTGCCAAGTGATTACTGCGGGGATCGGTGTAATGTGCTGATTCGTGCATATGGTTGAAAATCATTGATCAAGGAGTTTGGCAGGATCGTCAATAGCAATAGATTCGTGCGGAATTAATTTGAATGAGGAAAGGCGATGATGAATTTTATTATGAATATATATACAGAATGATAGCCATGCATGAAATAGTCATGCGAAAATCGAGGTTAAATAAAAAATTTACTATATTATAAATTCAATATATTATAAAAATATATTCAATATATTATAATTCAATATATTATAAAAAGTATTCAAGATAAATCAGTGAATAATAAATGAAATTTACTGACTCAAGATGAATCAATAAATAATGTTATACGGCGCATGGGACCACAAAGAATTGTGGCGACAAAGAATAATATGAGGAATCAAGATCATAGCAGTCATAGGCAGGACACCGAGGGATCAAGCTGAGAGGTCGAAAAAAGAATTAGGAAAGATGACGTCATGCATACAGGAGAAGAAGTTTGGACAGGCGGTGCTGCAATTGTGGTAGTAGTGGTGCGGTTAAATAAATTAAGGAAAGAAAGGCGTGAAATATTTCCGAAGCGGCAAATTCGGCTATGTGGCTTCGAATTGTGCAAAGAAAAGCAAGACAAATCAAATGTACTAGCGTAATATGACATGCAAATCGAACAATCGAATTTATAAGTCTGTTACAATTGGAGACATGCTTATTATTGCTTAGTTAGCGCGAGTTCAAAAAAGTCTCTGCGTAGGTTCAACTGCCAAATATATTATGCATAGTCATTCTTGATTTTGAACAGTAAGGATAATAAAGATCCTAAAAAGTCAATTAATTTAAATAATGTAAAGGATGTTGATGTTAAATGCAATCTGTTAGAGATGATAGAACATTATGAACCAAGTTCATCTAAGCAAGTCAATGTAAAAAATGGAAATAGTAATTAAACAACGATATACTCATGTACCAGTTATGCGCGACGATTTATGCCGAATTGCAAGACCAAATATTTCGAAAAAGGAAATTCTATTGCAATCGTAAAGAAAATAAATGGCAGTATTTATATTAGTGTGCAGATTATCATTAATTAAATAAGAAAATTGTTAAGGATAGATATGCTCTTCCATTGATCGACGATAAATTATAAGAAGCTAGTTTATTTAGTGTTCTTAATTTAAGAGACCGTTTCTTGCACGTGTCAATTCAAGAAAATGGTTATAAATATTTATTTTTTGTATGAACTTAACAAATCTATGGAAATGCACGGAAATGCACATTGATTGCGAACGGTATTAAAATACGAAAGGTATTAAATTACTTAGACGAACTTATAATACCGTCTCGTAGTATAAAAAAAAAAGATGTCGGTAATCTACACAGTGTACTAATAGTAACCAGAAAAATCTAAAGCTTTATTGGGTCAAGTGTACATAGAATCTTGAAGCGTTGAATTGAATATTTGGAATATAAACGAATTGTATGCGTAAATTGATGTTTAGATTTTCTGATTCGTTCCAAACGCAAGGAAACAAGTTATGCGATACTCATACGAAGAAACTGCGGTAACTCCTTCGGGTAATTTTATTGAGTTTTATACAGATGATTCAAGCCAATTATTTATGCTAACGAATCTAACTTTTATGTCACATTATTAAATTTTAGAAAAATGTTTACTTCTCTTTATATTTTATACATTGGAATTGTAAAAATTTTATAAGCAAAGTTTAGCAGCAAAGTTTAAATGGCAAGCATCAAAGATACATAATTCAGGAATCATAGGGATATGTTCGAAGTTGAATAATTCCGTCAGTTTTTCTTATATTTGATCACTTATAGCATAGATTATCGATTATTTTCGATATGGATTATTATTGAATAATTAGTGAATACTTATATATTATATATTATTTTAATAGAAATTAAAACATATTTTAATTTTTAGAAAAATAATATTTAATATATAATATATATATATATATATATATATATATATGTAAATTGAAAGTTGAAAGAATGCTAGGAATAATATTTATGATAAGAACGTAATCCTAGGAATATGAGCGATAAAGATGAATGTTTATGCACGTGTGGAGATTTGGTGGAATCTAGGTGCACTTTGTTTAAATGCATTTTGACTGAATACATTTTGTCTGGACGCAATTCGTATGTCCGCATCCTAACAGATATATATGAATGAAAGATAGCGATAATGAGCGTGCGAAAAAAATAAACGATAACCCATATAAAATATTAGGTATAAGAGAAAACAGAGTATCACAAAATAGAATCGATTAGAAAGTATAAGAGAGTAGAGCAGAACAGAGTAATTGAGTTTTATCGAGTATCGAGTGTCAAGCGAATGTACAGACGAGAAGAAGTTTGTATATCTTTATAGGGAGACAATAGAGAATCTGTTTATATCTTTATTTTAATAAAATCATTTGTTGTTTTTCAAATACTCTGGCCTAAACTCACCTACAAAAATAATATCTAGAATCGAACAAATGTAAATTTTATGTATCTGTGATGAGGAACGCTGTTATGTATTCCTAAAATTAAAAGAAAAAGTATTCTTTAATTTTTTCAAAATCCTTGGAATATAGCAGTAAAACTATATATTTTCAGCTGATAAGCGATTAAAAGTACGTAATATTTTTTTTATATTTCCTACACTGAAAGCTAAAATTTTGTTTAAAAAGTACCTCCTTTCTTCATGATTAGTAGGGCATTATTAGAATAAATTTATGTTATTCAATTTCTTATATTTATTTCTTCCGCTAATGATTTACTTGCGTTTTGCGGTAATCTTTGCTAAATCGGACACAGCGCCGGTACAATTTTGTTTGATAACATGAAGTATATAAACTATATGCATATTAAATATATAAACTTGCGACTGAAAACAAGATTTTTTATCGATTATTTTGTTAAAGATAGAAGAATTAATGAGTACTTATATATTACATATTATTTTAATAGTAATCAAAACATGTTTTAATTTTTATAAAAATATATAATATTTTGTATATATATATATTATTTGAATAGAAATCAAAACATTTTTGATTTTTATAAAAATAATATAAAAATCAAAACATGTTTTGATTTTTATAAAAATAATACTTAATATATAATATTTAATATGTATATATATATATTTTTTTTAATGGAAATAGAATTTGTATAATATTCAATATATAAATATGTATTCACTAATTATTATTTTTTATAAAATATTTGACAATATCTTGTTTTTTGTCGCAAATTTATATACTAGTTATTGTATATATTAATTATATTTATAATTTCATATGGATTTATATCGTAAAACAAATGCTTACTGGTGATGCGTCGTATCTATAGCTGTCGTATCTATAGCTGTCGTATCTATAGCCTTAAAGACCAGAGAGTCAGGAAATGTAAACAAATGCACGTGAGATAGACGTGAGTCAGGTCAGGAGCGCATTCACACTCTTCAAATAATGTAAAACAATTTTCGAGCGGAGGGTCAAAGCTAGTCCCTAACAATGACCTACATAAGTATGTAAATTCTCTTCTGAATTCAACAATTGATTATTATTTACCAATCAACAGTTGGAGTCTCATGCATTTATCACACATTTTGCACGCGACTGTTTTATTTATGTCTCCGGACTCGTCTCGTTGAATAGATATTATATATGTATAGACATATATTATATATAGAATAAGAGTTCGTATAAAAGAGAAGAAGTATAAAAGGACGAACCATTGAAGGATAAATTATTGCCTGGAGTCTAATGAAAGTCTACGTAAATAATTCTAAGATAACTAGGTTTAATCTACCGGAATTGCAGAAACCCGTAGAATTTTCTCCAAGGATTACAAATAAAAAATGTATAACCAAGGTCGTAATTGAAACTTGATTATAATCATATCTTCATCCCACGTCAGGACATAGCTTCTTTCGCAAACATCATTTTGCAATTTTCATCAGAATAACAATAAATTTTTGTGTATGTATGTATAAATAATTAAATAACAGATTTCGATATAAACGTCGAGTTAAAAATAGCGGACAATATAAATGATTTAAAAGAAGTAACGCGTGAGAGAATTCGAGAAACATATCCGTTGTTTTTGAAAAAAAAAAAAAAAATAAAAAGAACAAAAAAAAAACCATATCACGAACAGGTAAAAGCGCGGTAAATATTGTATTATTTTAAATCATAATTATCACTACTTGATTATAATCAATGATATATGGCTAACTGAATTTATTCGTTATAGGAATAATTGTTTTAAAATCTATAGTTTAGTTGTTCAAAAAAACCGGATAAATAAAAATTAGATACAACTCATGCGTCATTTTCTCAATACGCAATTGCGTATTAAAAAGCATACCTGCTATCTAAATCCATATAACGTATTGCAAGGGTTTAAATCATAAATTTTTTTATTGCAATTCTTGTTTGATTTTAATAATCAATGACTCATTCGAAAAATAAAGGTTTTTTTTTACACAAGATCATTGTTTCCGATTCTCGAAACATACTTTTATTTGCATAAAAAATACTCAAAAAATAGAAAAAACATATAAAAAGAAAATAATATTTTTCAAAAATTTGAAGGATAATTTCAAATAAAAAACAATCTTTATCTTTCGAATGAGCCTTCGATTATCGAAATCAGATAAAAAATACGGCCATGAAAATTCATGACGTAAACTATTGCAAATGCATAGTAAGTAAATTCCCTTGTATAGTATATTTATTTATAGTTTTTTTCGCTACATCATAGAGTTATGGATCATATTAATTTCTTTTCTTTCGAGGAATCGATTATTTAAACATACAAAGCAACAAATATCCACGCCGTATAAGCGTATAGTGAGAAAAAGAGATTCGACTGTTTTGACACGAACTCGAAGTAGTGCCACTGTGCCTTGATAAATTGAAATAAAATGGCTAAAGACAGAATTTACGTCATGAATTCTCATGGTCGCAATTTTGCCTAATTTTGAAAATGAAGAGCTCATTCAAAAGATAAAGACTTTTTTACACGAGATTATTGTATGCAATTTTCAAAACAGACTTGTGTGATAATTACTCTTGAAAAATATTTATTTTAGTATACGATTATTGCGAATAAAATAATATTTTTTTCAAAAATTAGAAACAAGAATCTCGTATAGAAAATCTTCCGCATTAGATCTTAATCATCAAAATTATATAAAAATTGTGACCATAAGAACTCATTGCAAACGTATAAGAGGAGAATCCCTTTAAGCTACTGTACTATCTAACTCGGAGAGTTAGACCTTGTGAATTCTTATTATCTTAAAATCCATTATTCATAAATATTAATGAGTTTTAAAATAAATGAGTTTTAAAATGTTGAAACGTATATTTGTTAGCATGTATATTATATAGTATTAAAAATATAGTTTCACGAAAAAACGTATTACCTAGAGCAATGACTGCTGGTGTCAGAATCATCAAATGCCGGAAATTAATCCCGTTTATCTCGTCCTGCGGTATAGCACTACAATAAATTTCAGCCCAGAAATAAGCAACTGCATTTCCAGCGGCAAATCGTATAGTAGAAAACGGTGGCTAAAAAAAGAATTCGAAACATATTTCGTTTGTTTTTTCATTCGTTATATTGCATACATGTCAAATTACGATATCGTTATCTATAGCAAACTTAAAGCTGATTCAGCAACGGTTAATCATCATATTACCTTGCGGTTGGCTTTAACTTTATGTTTGAACTGTTCGACAAAATTTGGATCATTATTGGCATCGGCCACGTAGGATGGAATTTTAAAAATGTCCCAGAACCATCCCAGTCCTAGATAACCACCAAAGGTGCTGATATATAGGAAGGCATGAGCGTCTCTGCCAAGATAGATATGATGAGCACCGATTAGACCACCAAAGAGCCAAAGAACGTATGCCCAAAATGTTGATTTCCGTTTATGAATTCTTTTATCCTGAATATTCGAGTTGTTCATTGTCTTCATTTATTTTTCTTTTGTCTTCTTCTTTTTTTTTATTTTTATGCCTGCCTATGTTCGTTTATATTTGAAATTTTTTATTCGATCAAGAAGGAACGTTATCCACACGCTATCTTATTCATTCTCATTCACAATTTGTTTAAATCGAATAATGCGATCTTCTTTATTTTAGGATAATATTATTCACCGTCGTAGACACTTTTTAATTAGAATTTTTCTTATCTATAATACATCCCTTTATCGTCAATGCTTCGTTATTTATATTATTTATAATATTCACCTACTTCCACTTATATATTATCGCAGCCTTATTTGTAAAGAATTTGAAGAACGAGCACACCAGTCTACCGCTTCGAACGACTACGAAACGTGTTTCCCTTCGTACTATTCGATGACACGTACCTGGTTCAACGCTCCAGCAAGTATAACGGTACCTGTTTCAGGACCGTACCAATAAGAGAAAAATCCTTTTTTAGCCATAACTTTAAAAAATATTCGTAAAGATGTAAAATATGAGAATTTCATTAATTAATATAATAAAAAAATTATTATAATGTTGAATTGTTTCGGGAAAATATATAGATATTTTTATTATTTAAGAATACTTTATTATTATTAAAATAATATAAAATAAGTTTTTTTTAACGAAATATTTTCTTTTTTAAAAAGTATGAAAAAGAGAAAGAGAAAAAAAAGTGTGGATTAAAGTAATATGTAATTGATTTAATTCGATAAGTTCTAGATAAAAGAAGAAAATATATACACATAATTTCATGAACTAATATGTAATCTCAATTATCGTTTTTATTATTATTATTATTATTATTATTATTATTATTATTATTATTATTATTATTATTATTATTATATTAATAAAATTTTTAATTATACGTAATATATTTTTTTTTTATTATTCGTAATAATTTAATACTATTTAAAAGCTATAATCGGTTTTTATATTTTTGAAAAACCGAATGTTCCGCCATCTAGTAACAAATACGATAAACGTTTGTAAATTTGTCTTTTACCAACATATGTTATATATATTTAGTAGTACATTTAATCATTAGATGGAGCACATAGTGCTGTAATTTTCATGAATTTACAATCCTGTTTCAATAAGAAAATATATAAAATACTACAATTCTGTGTCTTCTTCGTTCGTCTTCAATGTTTACAGGAGAGAAACTTTTTTCCTAAAGGTTAATGAGTATGCAAAGAAAAAAACACTTTTATATTTAGTTATAGTTCATAAGCGAAATGGCGTCGAACACATGTCGTTCAAGGAGTTTTGTCGCATGGTTCGTCTCACTTTGAAAGGTTAGAACACATGCAGAAACGAATCGAAGTTAGTTTAGTGTTAAAAAAAAGAAGATGCTAACTGATGGAGGTTCGTTCATCGGTATCGTGTAGTCATAAAGCATGGAGACGTATTGCAAAGAGAGAACGACGCAGACGTTTACGTTGTAAAGCTGCGAAGGAGCGCGAAGCAGACGAAGAACGATTGAGGGCAGCACTTGAACGTACCGCGGAATATTTGAATTGGTGCAAAGAAAAGGAACAGCGCGAGAAAGAGGAAGAAGAATTAGAAAAACGAGAACACGAAGAAAGAGAAAAATTGTGGCTCGAAGAAGAGGTAATTTTCATCATTATCGTGATTTTATTATAAAAAATTAAATCTCTTTTTTTTAAAATATAAGTTTCTTTTTTATGACTTACATATGTATAATAAGATTTAGAGAAAAGATTAATAATTAGAAAATTAGTAAAAGATTAAAAATTGGATAATTAGTCAGGAAGTTGGCTTATCTTAATTGTTTAATATAATTTTATTTTTAAGATAATCAATGATTTGTTATTAATTTATAATCATAAATTATTTACTATATGAATATATTATTCAGGTTAAAGCACAAAAAGAGTGGCATATCCTTCAAGAACGAAAGGCAAGAGCTAGACAACAGCAATTAGAGCAAGAAGAAAAAATTCGAAAAGAGTTTGAGGCTAAACAAGAAATTATACGTAAAAAAGAAGAGGAAGAGAAACGTAAACGAGAAGAGGAGATAAAACAAAGGGAACTACTGCAAAAGGAAATCGATGATTATATAGATGAGGGAATTAAAACGCCTGAGGCTCTTAGAAAAACTATCGATAGTCAACCTGGCAAAGAACTTTGTCCTTTCTTTTCTAAAACAGGTGCTTGCAGGTAGATTGAACAATAAATAACACATAAGGAATCAATAAGATAAAAAATAGAAAAAGATTAAATGATAATTCTAAGTTTTCTATTTTATGTAGGTATGGAGATACATGTTCCAGAAATCATCGTCGAGTTTGTTTAAGTAAGATTCTTCTAATACCTAATTTTTATTCACACTTTTCTCTGGAAAAGAACTCAACAGAATATGATACAGACATTGCATTGGAATTTGAAAATTCTGAAACCAGACAACACTTTTGTGAATTTTATAATGACGTTGTACCGGAATTGGAATTTCTAGGAAGAATTAAGACTCTTAAACTATGTTGCAATACTGAAATTCATTTACGCGGTAATTTGTACGTTGAGTATTGTACAGAACGAGAAGCTGCGAAAGCTCTGAGAAAGCTGAAGGGTCGTTGGTATGCCGGCAGGCAATTGAATTGTGAGTTTGCTAATTTGAAATCGTGGAGAAGTGCTGTGTGTGGTATGTTAAAGTGTCCTAAAGGTAGAGCTTGCAACTTTCTGCACACTTTTAAAAATCCTCATGCTGAATATGATATCAAAAGTCCACCTCGTTATTCAAAAGCTGTTGGTTCAGAAAGTAATAGTAAAAGAAGTGAACAAAGGTAAGCATATCTTTTGTCTTCTATTATTAAAATCCAATTTTTCATTCGTTTCGTTGTTTGTTAACTTTGTAGGAATAGATCTACATGGGAAGAATACATTTATGATGAAACTGATGAAAGTAGAAATTGGAGATGGTCAGAATCACCTGAAATAGAAACACCTGAAAAACGTTTAAGAAATAGTGAAAAACAATACAGACATACAAACGAAAAAAATGATCATCGTTCTTCTAGATACGATAAAAAACAAGATCGAAGTTCCAGAAGTTCTAGGAGATTTAGAAAAGCGTCTACAGAAAGAAAAAATCATCATTCAAGTTCAATTAGATCTCGAAGGTGTTACGAGAAGAAACATGATAATGACGATTTTCATAAGAACAAACGATCCTTCAAAAAGTATTCTAATGAAATAAAAAAGGAATATGATAATAGTGATGAAAGTTATGAAAGAATGAAGAAAATTTCGAAAAAGTGCAAATATTCGAGAACATATTCTACAGTTGGTAACCAGGATGATGAAAATACTAAATCTAGGTCGAAACAATCAGAGGAACATGATGATTTTAATTTTTCGAGTTTAAAAACCGAGAACGACATCAATAGGCTTACATCGGAAAATAAAGATAACGATGTAAAAAAAAGGAAAAAGGAAGCTAAATCAAAGTGGGATAGTAAAAATTTCGATGATACGTCTCTAGAAGGTGTAAACTCGAGTGATTCTGATTCTTCGTCTGATAATAGTGAATTACGTAGGACTACAAATAAACGATCTCCGGACGGTTGGACGACAACCGACTCTGATAATGAAGAAGATAATAAACGGTGATAATATTTAACGTAACCTAATGTTTAATACGATGTAATATATATATATATTTTTTTTCCCTTTATTTCTTTTTTTTTTTTTTATAATGTAATACATGCTCTTCACATTAAATACAATATTAATAAATATAATAGATTTGCAATAAAGATACGCTCTTAAAAAGTATTTCAATGTAGGAATTCGAAATCTCCATTTGTTTGTCAATAATGGCTATTTTATTGATACAAAATCTTATCGTTCATCTCCGAAGACCAATCCGTCGATCTTGTTATCTTTTTAAAGGAAAATTTGTGAAATCAAGATTTTCTTAAGTCAACTGTAATAATCGTCTACATTATCTGACTCTGTTCATCGAATAGTGGCATACATAAAAATATTTTTTAATTTGATAACGGTCGTTAATGTACGTGAATTGTAGCTGATATCATATCAATATTTATCATTCAATCGTGATTCAAAATAAAAGTAAAATATAAAGCAATTGTAGGATTCAGAAGTGATATATCATTTCAAGATGTACGTCTTACTAATTTTGTTAGTTTCTATATATTATTCACTCGTCGATGGTTTCGGCCTCCATGGATTTACTTTTAAGGGTTTAGATGAGCCACAAATATTGGGTACTCGTACAAAAGATGTACATGAGGATTGGTTAATCCAACCATTAGATCATTTTAATTCACGTGATAATAACTTATGGCATATGGTAAGAATTTTTTATTCTCAAATAACATTCTTTTGATTATATACGTACAATAATAATATTTTCAATAATATTTTTACAGCGTTACTACAAAAATGCAGCCTTTTCAACACAAACTGGACCGATATTAATCATGCTCGGCGGAGAATGGGAAATAGAACCTAATTTTTTAACAAATGGACTGATGTACGACATTGCTGTTGCTCATGGAGCCATGATGTATTATACTGAACATCGATACTACGGAAAGAGTAAACCCATACAGTACGATGATAATCAAATATATGGATAATAATAAATCTTTAAATATTTTTATTATGAATTATTAATTTTAGAAACATTAGTGAAGAAAATCTGCAATATTTAAACGTTGATCAAGCTTTGGCTGATATAGCTTATTTCATTGAAAAGATGAAGCAAAACCTTGGTAAGGAAAACGCAAAAGTAATAGTTTTCGGTGGATCATATGCTGGTAATATGGCAGTATGGGCTAGATTAAAATATCCTCATCTCATTCAGGTATTTTTTTTTTTTATGTAAATGTGTTTCATATGAAGTCAAACTTTGTTATTTAATTCTTTACAGGGTGCCGTGGCTAGTAGTGCTCCGATATATGCAAAAGCTGATTTTTATGGTAAAAATCGTAATTTTCTTGTTTTCTGAACCTTTGTCAATTAATTTGGATCAATAAATTCGTTCTTTTGTTTTTAGAATATAACGAGATTGTGGCAAGGTCTCTTCGGAGCTATGACGAACAATGTCCGATTGATATTAAAGCTGCGTTTGATTCCGTAAAGGAATTATTGACTGGTAATGGTGGTGCTGAAAAATTGAAAACATATTTCAAGTATGTACATATATTAATTCCTGAAAATCAAAGAAATTAGAAAATTAATTAAAAATTATAATATTTTAGTCTGTGCAAAGTGCCGAATGTGAAATCTAATAACGATGTTAGTCACCTTATAAATATTTTCATAGAGGTAAGAAGTTATGATAATAAAAGAAAGAATAAAATCCTTTAACGCACGTGTTTCAATAAAAACT